CTTGTTTCTCTTTTTATTTTGTCAAATTTGATTCTGGATTTTGTTGATGAAGAGATCAGTCGCAAAACTTCCTCTAGTTGGTCTCATCAGGTTAGTTCACTTCATACTACATCCTTCAAATTTAGCTCTGGTTTGTCAATACAACAAAATATTTAATAAAGTTTAGCTCTTGTTTCTCCTCAGATTTTTTCACATCAAATCTATTTGTTACAGAAAGTATCTTATTTTTTTGCTTATTCCAATTGATTGGAAATGCATATTTTTGTATTTTTTTGGGAAGTGAGATGGGGTGTTCTTAAGGACTACCCATCTTTTCTTAAAAATTTTCAATTTAAGAAAAAATCATCTGTTGGTAGTTTTCTTGCATTGTGCTGCTTTACCTTCATGGCTTGTTGCACTTTTATGTTGTGTTTTTTTGTTTAAGGAATAGTGTGCATTGGGTAAGAGTTTCAATTCTTATGACTTCTTATTGACAGCAAGTGCCTCGGTTGTGTCTATGTTCAGCGGGAGTCTAAATCATCTGATTTCAAGGGTGTTTCAGGTAGATATAAATCATTGACGTTTATGTGTTTTTTGCAATTTATTTTGAATTTTTTTATTATCAAAATGCATGTATTTTTGTGTTTTAACCAATTTTGTGTTGGGAAGGTTTTGGAAGCATAAGTAGCTCATATCATACTATGATGCCATGTCAGCACTTTTAAATAGTACCGTACTGTAGCAAGAAGCTCCTTGAGTTTTATGATACATCCTGAATAGAAATAAATTAAAAACAGTACAAAAGTTAGATGTTTGTCATGTTATATATGCAGCACCCTTGCAATATAACCACAAGTTAAGGGTGCCCAATTCATCTGTATAACATATGGCGCTTCTGCCAGTATGTCTGTGTTATTTGACTCATCAGGCTAGGATCTTGTTGCCTAGGCTATTAAGAAGGTGATTGGCTCCCCAGCTGTAGGGAAGAAACAAAGTCATCATATGACTTAAGTTCTACTTGCATTTGAAGTCCAATTGCTGAATCGCTCTCTTTTGCTGGCAGGTGTTGTGACTGAAAGAGTTCAAGAAGCTCATCGGGATAAGTCTGCTCCAATGATGATGCTATTTCCGGGTCAGGGTTATAGGATCTTGTTCATACGTTTTTCTCTGTTATTTCTCTTAAGTTTATGCTGCATATTACATAAATTGCTTTGGTATTATTTGATATTCTCTGCTTTCCTATTTGCCATAGCACTCTGTTGAAATCTCGGAGAAAATCCAAATGATAAATAAATGAATAAGCGTAAGGATTTTTTCTGTGGAACTGAGTATGTTTCCTATATCTAAACATTCAACCATGACACTAGTCATCGTAACACTGATGGTATAGCTCAACTTAAATCTACTGTTTTTGTACCCATGACCAAATTGATAAAATTTAAGAGCATTTGCACTTGACTTACATGTATTTGCCTAGTTTCCTATCAGTTATTGATTTTATCATCAATTTCATTGCAGAAGGTACAACTACAAATGGTGACTTTCTACTTCCATTCAAGACTGGTGCATTTTTAGCAAGAGTTCCTGTGCTTCCTGTGATTCTCAGGTATCCTTACCAGAGATTCAGTCTTGCCTGGGATTCAATATCTGGGGTATGTTTTTTTCGTGCAACTTGTACATTTATGGGTTACCACAATCTCATATAATGAAAGCTGATTTGTTCCCTGATTTCCTAATAGTGGATACAATATATAGTGCCATATGTTTTCTGTAACTCTCTACTAAACCATAGTCTACAGATTCTCCGGTTTTGGTCATTAAATGGTGGCTTGGCATTGGATGAATCTTATATTTCTAGTTGTTTGGATGCTGACAGTGGAATTCTTAGTTTAAAAAATGATTGTGAATTTCTCTTGAGTTTCATAAGTTTATTACAGCCAAGGGAGACCCAATGCTTGCAGTTTAGAGTTTGGTACGTACCTTTAAATACCAGGGTGCATACAGAAAAAGGTCTTATGGTTTGTCTTGCATTGAGATGTTCAGTTAAAAAAGGCAACTTGTTGGATCTGATCATTACAAGATGTAAAAAAAAGTAGGTCTACTTTGGGTTGCTTAACTAACTCTTCTTCTCCTTGTTGACAAAGGCATTGAGTAAAAAATTCCCTCTAGAGCGTATATTTGTCTAATTGCTTATAATCCTTGTCTATGATAATCATAATCTCCTTGTACTATATCCTGTGTATTAATAAATATCAGGTGGTGATATACTTTTTCATCATATTTAAAATTTGTTTTTGTTAATGCAAATATGTATTTCTATTTGTAGGCACGCCATGTCCTTTTTCTTCTCTGCCAATTTGTAAATCATATAGAGGTGACCAGGTTACCTGTCTACTACCCGTCACAGCAAGAGAAGGATGATCCAAAACTCTATGCTGAAAATGTTCGAAGGTTGATGGCTGGCGAGGTATGCGTTTCCTTCAATTTTAACCATTAGAAGTTTGAAAAATTGAGGTACCATGATTTCAACCATTTTTTCTTCACAGCCTGCATAAAAGCTGACTTTCAACTAGAAACTTATCTTAGAAGACTCATGAAACTTAGAGGGCTTCACCATGACTACTCTTGGAAGGCTAATGTATCAATGCTAATAACCTTGATGCTTTGTAAAACTTAACCTTGATGCTATAACATTATTGTTGGGAGTTAGGACCTCAGATATGGTATAGGGAATTAGTATCCATTGGATAAAATTTACTTAAATAAGAGAAGATCATTAATATTCTTGTAAAATGCACAAGCAGATCATTAACATTTTTGTAAAAATCCGCAATGTATTAGAAAGAGGAACTGGATTTGAGCTTGACAGGACAATTATAGAAGGTAAAGCCATAACAACTGTGATAGAAAGATTATAACTAAAGAGATGTCAGAGTATATCTTTCTTAAGTTTTGCTTGCCATTGGGTTTTGTATTCTGAAGCGCTGGAACTCCTCTAGAGTTGCTTGTATTGTGGTGATGTGGTCTGTACTGTGGTGTTGACTTTTTTTTTGAAACGGTGGTCTTTATTGTTATTAGCACCACCACAGCTTGAATTGGCATTTGTATCGACATGAATTTGTTTCTGTTTCTGCTTTTCTTGCAGGGTAATTTGATAATGTCAGATATTGGGCTTGCTGAAAAGCGAATATATCATGCTGCTCTCAATGGTAATAATAGCCTGCCTAGTGTTTTGCATCAGAAAGACGATTGATAATTTCTTGGCCTCGCTCCCAAATGTTATCTAGTCTCAGTTGAGAGTTTCTTAGTTTCTATTGGCATTTTCTCATGAGTGCACAGCTAAAACAGGCAGTGGTTGTGTCTCCCCTTCTTACTCAAAGAGAAACTGGTGTGCCATTATTGTCTTGTAATTTCTTGTATGGAAAATGTGGTCATTGAATACAGTTTTAGTTGTGGTGGTTGAATTCAACTTCTGAGATTTGGTTATATGTCCAACGTTAATGCTTAATAAGTTAACTATTTGATGCCCTGACACACTTTTAGACAGAAGTATGCACCTGTAAATCTGAATCATTTCTTTCGTGTTCCTGCAGGTTTGTTTTCCCCATGCTAATTCGGATTGGCCGTCTGTAAATTCATTGTATGATTCTATTATTTATGAAAAAAAAGATTAAAAGTGATTTAGAAAATCTGTGCAGAACAATTGTTTTAATTGTCATCAGTTGACAACATATTACCTCAATGTTGAAGTACAGTGGTGGAGCTAAACTAGCGTTTTCAAAGAAGGGCTGCCTCTGATGTTTCCACATTTAGCAGTTAATAGACATCCAGGAAGTTGATATGTTCGTTTATGAGATGGCTTTTAGGTATTGTGATTGGTGCTACTTGGTCTTCAATGTTGAGTTTAATGCTTAGAAACAGAGGCTGCCTTTGTATTGGCTGAGATGCGCTCCTTGACAAGGGACTCAGGAGCGACTCATCACATTTCTTATGGTGGGGTCATATCCATTGGATTTTTGAGCAAGTGTTTGTTCCTGTAAATTAGTACTGGCGGGTTCGGCATTTGCAATTTTGCATGAATTTCTAAATTATGACCTCTTAATTACTGCCATGACTCAAGGTTCTGAGCTTTAAAAGAAATATTAGGGTTCAAATGCTCTGCAGTGCTGTTCGTTCAATTGATCTATCAAATTTTGTACTACCCTGGACCTACACAAAAGCAACATTCATCATCTCCGTGTTTTTTGAAGGTCCAAAAATGGAATAACATATTTGTTTTTTAATATGGTATAAAATTAAATTGTTATACAATCGCTTTCATTACTTTACATAGTGATGCAGATTCATTGATCAATCGCAACTATTAAATTAATAGATTTGAACAACTTACATCAAATTTCTTCATTAATTTTTAGATACGCATATAATTCTAATTTCTAATTATTGAGATTTGAGAGTGCTTGAATCTAATTATTAAAACTTACATTAGATAATTTATTAAGAAAAAATTAACCTTTCGATCAGTTTTATTTCGAGTCCTAATGTTCAAACTGATTTAAAAGAGTTCTAAATCTGGAACCCTCACTTTTTTTGCAATTTATTTTGAATTTTTTTATTATCAAAATGCATGTATTTTTGTGTTTTAACCAATTTTGTGTTGGGAAGGTTTTGGAAGCATAAGTAGCTCATATCATACTATGATGCCATGTCAGCACTTTTAAATAGTACCGTACTGTAGCAAGAAGCTCCTTGAGTTTTATGATACATCCTGAATAGAAATAAATTAAAAACAGTACAAAAGTTAGATGTTTGTCATGTTATATATGCAGCACCCTTGCAATATAACCACAAGTTAAGGGTGCCCAATTCATCTGTATAACATATGGCGCTTCTGCCAGTATGTCTGTGTTATTTGACTCATCAGGCTAGGATCTTGTTGCCTAGGCTATTAAGAAGGTGATTGGCTCCCCAGCTGTAGGGAAGAAACAAAGTCATCATATGACTTAAGTTCTACTTGCATTTGAAGTCCAATTGCTGAATCGCTCTCTTTTGCTGGCAGGTGTTGTGACTGAAAGAGTTCAAGAAGCTCATCGGGATAAGTCTGCTCCAATGATGATGCTATTTCCGGGTCAGGGTTATAGGATCTTGTTCATACGTTTTTCTCTGTTATTTCTCTTAAGTTTATGCTGCATATTACATAAATTGCTTTGGTATTATTTGATATTCTCTGCTTTCCTATTTGCCATAGCACTCTGTTGAAATCTCGGAGAAAATCCAAATGATAAATAAATGAATAAGCGTAAGGATTTTTTCTGTGGAACTGAGTATGTTTCCTATATCTAAACATTCAACCATGACACTAGTCATCGTAACACTGATGGTATAGCTCAACTTAAATCTACTGTTTTTGTACCCATGACCAAATTGATAAAATTTAAGAGCATTTGCACTTGACTTACATGTATTTGCCTAGTTTCCTATCAGTTATTGATTTTATCATCAATTTCATTGCAGAAGGTACAACTACAAATGGTGACTTTCTACTTCCATTCAAGACTGGTGCATTTTTAGCAAGAGTTCCTGTGCTTCCTGTGATTCTCAGGTATCCTTACCAGAGATTCAGTCTTGCCTGGGATTCAATATCTGGGGTATGTTTTTTTCGTGCAACTTGTACATTTATGGGTTACCACAATCTCATATAATGAAAGCTGATTTGTTCCCTGATTTCCTAATAGTGGATACAATATATAGTGCCATATGTTTTCTGTAACTCTCTACTAAACCATAGTCTACAGATTCTCCGGTTTTGGTCATTAAATGGTGGCTTGGCATTGGATGAATCTTATATTTCTAGTTGTTTGGATGCTGACAGTGGAATTCTTAGTTTAAAAAATGATTGTGAATTTCTCTTGAGTTTCATAAGTTTATTACAGCCAAGGGAGACCCAATGCTTGCAGTTTAGAGTTTGGTACGTACCTTTAAATACCAGGGTGCATACAGAAAAAGGTCTTATGGTTTGTCTTGCATTGAGATGTTCAGTTAAAAAAGGCAACTTGTTGGATCTGATCATTACAAGATGTAAAAAAAAGTAGGTCTACTTTGGGTTGCTTAACTAACTCTTCTTCTCCTTGTTGACAAAGGCATTGAGTAAAAAATTCCCTCTAGAGCGTATATTTGTCTAATTGCTTATAATCCTTGTCTATGATAATCATAATCTCCTTGTACTATATCCTGTGTATTAATAAATATCAGGTGGTGATATACTTTTTCATCATATTTAAAATTTGTTTTTGTTAATGCAAATATGTATTTCTATTTGTAGGCACGCCATGTCCTTTTTCTTCTCTGCCAATTTGTAAATCATATAGAGGTGACCAGGTTACCTGTCTACTACCCGTCACAGCAAGAGAAGGATGATCCAAAACTCTATGCTGAAAATGTTCGAAGGTTGATGGCTGGCGAGGTATGCGTTTCCTTCAATTTTAACCATTAGAAGTTTGAAAAATTGAGGTACCATGATTTCAACCATTTTTTCTTCACAGCCTGCATAAAAGCTGACTTTCAACTAGAAACTTATCTTAGAAGACTCATGAAACTTAGAGGGCTTCACCATGACTACTCTTGGAAGGCTAATGTATCAATGCTAATAACCTTGATGCTTTGTAAAACTTAACCTTGATGCTATAACATTATTGTTGGGAGTTAGGACCTCAGATATGGTATAGGGAATTAGTATCCATTGGATAAAATTTACTTAAATAAGAGAAGATCATTAATATTCTTGTAAAATGCACAAGCAGATCATTAACATTTTTGTAAAAATCCGCAATGTATTAGAAAGAGGAACTGGATTTGAGCTTGACAGGACAATTATAGAAGGTAAAGCCATAACAACTGTGATAGAAAGATTATAACTAAAGAGATGTCAGAGTATATCTTTCTTAAGTTTTGCTTGCCATTGGGTTTTGTATTCTGAAGCGCTGGAACTCCTCTAGAGTTGCTTGTATTGTGGTGATGTGGTCTGTACTGTGGTGTTGACTTTTATTTTGAAATGGTGGTCTTTATTGTTATTAGTACCACCACAGCTTGAATTGTCATTTGTATCGACATGAATTTGTTTCTGTTTCTGCTTTTCTTGCAGGGTAATTTGATAATGTCAGATATTGGGCTTGCTGAGAAGCGAATATATCATGCTGCTCTCAATGGTAATAATAGCCTGCCTAGTGTTTTGCATCAGAAAGACGATTGATAATTTCTTGGCCTCGCTCCCAAATGTTATCTAGTCTCAGTTGAGAGTTTCTTAGTTTCTATTGGCATTTTCTCATGAGTGCACAGCTAAAACAGGCAGTGGTTGTGTCTCCCCTTCTTACTCAAAGAGAAACTGGTGTGCCATTATTGTCTTGTAATTTCTTGTATGGAAAATGTGGTCATTGAATACAGTTTTAGTTGTGGTGGTTGAATTCAACTTCTGAGATTTGGTTATATGTCCAACGTTAATGCTTAATAAGTTAACTATTTGATGCCCTGACACACTTTTAGACAGAAGTATGCACCTGTAAATCTGAATCATTTCTTTCGTGTTCCTGCAGGTTTGTTTTCCCCATGCTAATTCGGATTGGCCGTCTGTAAATTCATTGTATGATTCTATTATTTATGAAAAAAAGATTAAAAGTGATTTAGAAAATCTGTGCAGAACAATTGTTTTAATTGTCATCAGTTGACAACATATTACCTCAATGTTGAAGTACAGTGGTGGAGCTAAACTAGCGTTTTCAAAGAAGGGCTGCCTCTGATGTTTCCACATTTAGCAGTTAATAGACATCCAGGAAGTTGATATGTTCGTTTATGAGATGGCTTTTAGGTATTGTGATTGGTGCTACTTGGTCTTCAATGTTGAGTTTAATGCTTAGAAACAGAGGCTGCCTTTGTATTGGCTGAGATGCGCTCCTTGACAAGGGACTCAGGAGCGACTCATCACATTTCTTATGGTGGGGTCATATCCATTGGATTTTTGAGCAAGTGTTTGTTCCTGTAAATTAGTACTGGCGGGTTCGGCATTTGCAATTTTGCATGAATTTCTAAATTATGACCTCTTAATTACTGCCATGACTCAAGGTTCTGAGCTTTAAAAGAAATATTAGGGTTCAAATGCTCTGCAGTGCTGTTCGTTCAATTGATCTATCAAATTTTGTACTACCCTGGACCTACACAAAAGCAACATTCATCATCTCCGTGTTTTTTGAAGGTCCAAAAATGGAATAACATATTTGTTTTTTAATATGGTATAAAATTAAATTGTTATACAATCGCTTTCATTACTTTACATAGTGATGCAGATTCATTGATCAATCGCAACTATTAAATTAATAGATTTGAACAACTTACATCAAATTTCTTCATTAATTTTTAGATACGCATATAATTCTAATTTCTAATTATTGAGATTTGAGAGTGCTTGAATCTAATTATTAAAACTTACATTAGATAATTTATTAAGAAAAAATTAACCTTTCGATCAGTTTTATTTCGAGTCCTAATGTTCAAACTGATTTAAAAGAGTTCTAAATCTGGAACCCTCACTGCGCGCAATTTTTTTTTTCTTTCTGCAACAGCTCTTGAATATGAACCTAGAGAAAAGCCTTTGAACCCTGTGAACTGGGCCGGACCCCAATATAATCCGCATGTTCTCATAAGTCACGCCTAGATAACAAGCGTCAAATTTGACAGTATTTACAAATTGATGAACAATCTCTAGTAGCACAAATGATGCAGAATTTCTACAGACAGCTATTTGCCAAGAACATTAATAAATGACATGAAAAATAACACTCGAGTTATGAGCACAATGTACATTTCAAAGATGGCAACGCCATTGATCCATCGAGATTCTTCTTTGATCAGTTGCTTGCCATCTTAGTAGTTTCTAACAGCAGAGGCCAAACCAAGGCAACCATCAATCCGAAAACTTGCAAAACCAAAAGAATATAAGTGATGGCAGCCTTCTCATGTTGGCATTTATGTAAACAAATCTCTGTAATCAAGCTTAGGGAATAGGGATCCTGGTCACTAATCATCATGAATGCTAATTCAAGCAGTTATCTCACCTTTCCTTCAATGAACCATTGTTTGACCTTCTCAATTCCCATGTCGGTAGGCAGCCCCTAAGGGGTGATTGTAGAAACAATGAAGATGTTGACAACTGCTTCTGCCGCATTGAGATTGAAGACAGACAACTAAATGCACCTCTCAGCCTCCTTTTGTCGCTATCAAATGGTTGGTAATCAGGGTCATGCTGCACAGCAGAAATCTTAAGGGTTTCGGGAAGTATGCAATTGCAGATTGAACCTACCACCACCACCACAAATTAAATAAAATTAAAATTGTGTACATTTAAAAATACAGACATCTGCTACAAATAACCACCACAGTTTACTGAATGTGTCTGGCATAGGAATTCATCTCATAAACTTTTTTAATAGGAGGAATTCAGCTCATAAATTTAAAGAATAAATTATCAAAGCATTTTACTATCATCTGGTACTCCCTCTGCTGACAGTTATTCACTTGTTCATGAAACTTGTTGAGCTCTAGGGGAATATTCTTTGGAATTAGTTTTACATTTTTGAAAAGCATGACCTGTCTTTATGGCCACCAATAAGAGCACAACAGTTATGAAATACAAGATTCCATGGTTTCAGTTATGCAGAAGCAAACAAGTGCTCAACCACAGAATGCTTGACAAAAAGACTGGTTCTTGTATTCAATCAGCTACTAACTCAATGTGGAAAATGATGGAAGGAAAGAATACCTATTTTTGCTAGTCGATTTACCCATTTTGGAACTGGTTTCCCAGTTAGCTTAGAACAAATGTCCTTGCAGAAATGATTGCAGTTCTTGACAATCAAGTGATATGTATCGCCATTGTAGCTCGCAGAATGTCTCTCTATGAACTCCCTAACCTGAATAGGGTCCAAGCATGTGGTTCCAATGAATATTGACTTCCTGAACTTGAAGCCTGGGCACTGCCGTGGTTCAACCTCAAAAACACCACTTGTTGGATAGTCATGAGCTCCAAAGGCATATTCAACACCATGGACTGCACAGTGGAGGTGCAGATGATCAGATAATAACAGATATGGAGAAGATATAATAAGGAGCAGTTATAATATTCTACTTCCTGTATAATTGATTCACCAGTCTACTAACATGAACAAGGAGTGTCCAAAATAAATCTAGCTTCCATGTCCCACCTGTTTATGAGAATCAAGTTTCATAGTTATTTACATACATGTTTATTTTAGTTATAGAAGCTGTAGTGGTACTGCAAAATTTAAGCTCTTTTCTCACATATTACTGGGTAAAAGTAAATGAAAAAGAATGAGGGATCTCCAACTCTCTCTCTCTCTCTCTCTCTCTCCATAAATATCATTATATATATCCCTTAGAGGATAGTATCTCCAATCAGTTTGCCGTCCCTCATCCATTCCCAACCACAGTTGCCTTGTAATTAAAATCAATATATAACTATCTTCAGCTCATTAGATTTGAAATAGCCAGATAGGATTGAGTAAAAACTAGATTAGGACAGTACACATCGAAATTTTCATGGTTCTGAAATAGTTCTACCTCAACTTGAGATCATATATTTAGGTACAAAATTTAAAAATGAAAATGCATCCAAGGATGGTATTGTAGCTCACCTTCTACACCAGAGTGATAGATACCAAGACCCGCCCAGTAGACATAGCCATTCATTGGTGTCAAATCGTACACATTTAGATATACAGCTGCTCGGCCTGGACCATAGCTAGTTGGCTTCATCTTCGGAAACAAAGAAAAACTTGTGGCTGATTTGCCTTTCAAGCGAAGAGGCACTATTGATTTCCATCCCTTCTTGATTTCGAATTTCATGCTTGCTTAAAAAACAATTCTAGAATTCAGTCAATGCCCGTCTCTAACCTGTGCAGACATACAAAGATAAAAACATTAGCACTTTACAAATAGATATTCAATCATTCACAACAGTTACAACCTTTTTATTGCATCTCAAAAGTTCTTATAAATTCAACTGTACTATCATTTTAGTAGGCAAAAAAATCCATTAGTCTTTGTGTACTTAAAAGCATAAACTGTGGTTCAACCACATTACAGCTATATCACCACAAAGCAGCATATCAAGAATCATCAAAGCAGTCAAGTTGGTATAATATTAGAGTACTCTTTCGACAGCCACCTGATCTACATGGTATGAATGAACATACCAATGCAACAAAAACCATCAATGTAAATATTCTAGAACAGAGACAGGGAGGAAGTACAGGATAGGACAGCACAAACATGCTGAATTCTGAAAATAACTAATGATTTTATGAAGATATCTAATCCCAAGTTTTCAATGAAGAAGTTCTGGAAGTGGAATATCCTTCAACTAATTTGTCAAAAGACAATAAGGACAGGGGAACGGAAGATGGAGTAGCAGACTCCACAAAAGCCAAAAGGAAGAAAGGCATGCTATTTTATTCTCTTTATAATTTTCCTCATATTATCCCCCCCACAAAGTTGACTTTCAAGTCATATATCTAAACAAATAAACAACCAGCCCCCACAAAGTTGACTTTCAAGTCATATATCTAAACAAATAAACAACCAGACCCTGTGCTGGCCAAGACTGCCTAGAGTCTTTAAAAGGTATCAGTATACTAAGATGATTAACATCTTCTGAGATAATATGAACATGCAGCACATACTTAGCATTCTATATTTCTTTTAACTTTTATAAATTACTTAGAGGCATACAGTTTAATCGCTGCTATTGCTATTTTCAAGCATGATAAAAGTGATTTCACAACTTCAAAATTTGGCCAAGATGAGAAACTAGTAGACAGTAAAGCTGGATTTGATAAGAAATTAAAGCTTTCTAAGTGTTGCTAAAAATAATAGACAGAACTTGACACCTCGTAGACTACACCAAAGTTCTACCTTGATATCTATTCGTTACAAAAGTGGCTAAATGAAACCTCTCAGAGCATCAGTTTCTTTTTTGATAAAATAATAAAAAACTCCAACAAGATTATCAATTATCAACAATTAAATCTCTTCTGAACCTAGTGCTTCTTAACTGCTCTGTATCGTGAGGTATCTCTAGTACTCAGGAAATGTTTGTTTGTAATCCCAAGTGAAAAATTGTTCATCATTACATAAAGTTTTTTCCTAGAAAAAGAGGGAAGGAAAGGGGATTTATCTATAAGGAATTCAAAAAAAAAAAAAAAAAAAAAAAAAAAAAAAAAAAAAAAAAAGAAGATAATAATTATCTGTGGACTTGTCAACATGTTAGAGAACTATAAGCATCAGAAGTTGACAGTAGTTCTAAATAATTTGGATAAGAGTTTAATTAAAGACAAGTGCAGCCGGCAGAGAATAAAGAAAGAGGAGTGAAAGTCAACTGCAAATCTCAACAAATTTTATTTCCAACGACTTAGGGCTGGCCAGCAATACTTAAAATCCATCACATATAAAAGTACATTTCACTAGAAACCTGCAATTTATCAGAAACTAAAGAAAAGCTAAAATGAACATAATAGAAATTCCCGTGAACATGAACTGAAGCATGAACATGAAGCAACTGCAGACAATCATGACCTAATCTTGAAACCACTGGAAGCTTTACAGAATAAACCAATCTTATCCTTAAAAACGCAATAAAGTAAACTAATTATAGCAACTTTCACCTCAAACTATGAAATTAGCAGCAATGAAAGTAACAATATTCATCATCAGATGAAATAAAATTGTAGCATTCCCTCAAACTATGAACAGAAATAGTCAAATGGGTCTCAACACAAAAAGATCAGCTTTAAATTAAAGAATAGAAGTCGTCTTACTTCAGATCCAGTTGAAACTATTTATGCCAAAAATAAATAGCTAGATATTAACAATGAAATTTAGAAAAACGAAGAAAAAAAAGGCATAGATTGATAATTTGGAGGGGATCTTCCTCCAATTTCAAAGTTGATTGTTATATTTCTTTTGCCATTACAATATATAGAGTCCACAAAAGTAAAAAAAAATCAACAAAGGAAAAGGAATTACGAGGAAATCTTCTCCACATGCTAACATTGTAGAAAAGGAAAGTGAACTTTATCACCAAATTAAAAGAAGAGAATAATGTAGCAGCGTTGTTTGGGAAATTATAGGTCAGACTAAGCAAAATATATCAGGAAACTCAACACAACTTATCAAAAAACTCCAAAATTTGATTCTTATCCAGAAATTTCCAGGCGACTAAACAACCAAGAAGAGTGAGAATCAAGCGAAAACGGAAGCACATAAAGAACTGAAAACAACTAAAAAATATATGCCAGTGCAAATTTACAAGAACAAAACTAGAGAAAATTAGAAGTACAAAAGAGAAAAGTAAGTAAAGGAACTCACAGATTCTGAGAGGATCGACATTGATTTAAAGGCGAGACAAACCAGCAGCTTAAGGTTTAGCTGCTCCTTAAACAAACACTACCATCTTCCCAGTTATGACGAAGATAAAGAAACAAATGGCAAAGAGAAGCTAAAATTTAGCAGTTAAGAGAATAACCAGAGAGTCAACAAAGACTCTCTCTTCTCTTCAACCACCTAAATCACATTCACAGGCAAGGCAATCTTAATTGAGTTCCTTCTTTGTCAATTAATTAATTAAAAAAAAAAAAAAAAGCAAAAACTATATTTATGAGTCATTTGTCTTACTGAGTTGGAGTAGTCATTGTCCCGGTGAGCACGTGCCAAGTTATTATTATATTGTTTCTTTTATCCTCTCTCTCTCTCTCTCTCTCTCTCTCTTAGCAGTCAATAATAACAATCAATCATAAAAGGAAATAATTTTGGTAAGATCATTCATTCAATCCTTGTCTGTGATAATGTCAGTGACAGTGAGGGGTCCGCACTCACCTAATTTCAACTTCTACTTACTTCAATTCAACTCACATGTGATGAGATTAATTCGCTCAATCAGTGTTTCTCCTGTTTACAGTTCACCTCTTTCTTTCTCTTCTATTCATCTTTCACAGTATCAATTACCGCTCATAATCAACCATATTTTAAAGTGTGAATGATTGATTCTCTGAAATCACTGGAGGTTGAGGAGGGGGTTCACATGTCGTTTTCTTTAGATGTTATACATGATAAGCATTTTAAAGGCAATGATAAAATTTGCATAAAACTTGAACGTATCCATCAATTTTTAAAGGCAATTGGACTTTGACCAGATCACAAAACCAAGTTTATGGTCCCTTAACTGCATTACAACTTGCAGAACCAGGAAAAAAAAATCTCGAAAATTGTTTGAATGAGTTCTTTCACCCTTGTGAAAACACGATTCGAACCGAATTGAACAAATCTCAGAAAGAAAGAATTTAATATTATTGGAAAAAAATTGTGTTCTTGTCTTCAAAGTAAAAATAAATAAGTAAAAATTCTGAGAAAATATATATAAGATAATAAGAGGTTGGCCAGCTCTGAAGTTGGCCAGCTCTTCCTCACGACGGGATAGCTCCTTCTGTCATGTCTGCTGCCTTCATCAATATCTTGTGTCATCACTTATTTATCTTTTCCTCTCCTGTAAGTCTGTAACCACCACCTCTCATAAATTTGGTCAATTACTATCAGAAAGAAACTCTTCAATTTATTGGTTTGTAAAATTTATGCCGCAAATGTTGTATAAGAAATGAATCTGGAATGTTCACATCCTTGCATTTAAATGATTGGCGAAGAACATTAAACCCTGAAATCAAGTATTACTATTACTAGCAAATTTTGGTGTGGGTTCTTTTATGTCCCTCTACCAAAACATGGGCGACACAAGAATGTTAATATGCAGAAGATTGGTACTGGTACATTAAGAAAACGACAATAAAGCGTGTTATAACTTACACGCATAAAGCTGTTGCCTGTCATGGTGGTTCAGTTGTTCTTCTGACTTCTACCCACGCCCTCTCTCCCATCCTCTCACAGCCATTGATCACGTCGAGCCAAAACAACTTTTACATGGGACCCTTTGTCCCATCAGCTTGATTGATTTGTTTTTGGTCTTATTTGCTTTTTCGTTTTTTTGAAAAAAAATTTGCAGTCAAAGTTTTTCCATTTCTCTGGGCAGAACATAATAATTATGGTTTAGATACAAATGGCTTCTCTTTTTGACTGTATGACGAACTACAATTAAATTAAGTGGATGATTAAATATCATTGATAGAATATGATATCGTGAAACTTATACTCTATGACTATTATTGAGAAAAGAGACATTGAATTATAGATACAGGGAGGGACTTCATTTGTTAAATAGTAAACCAACTCTCAGGTACAGGTCAGACACAGTTGCCACATTTAACTATTTAAGACATTGGTTTTGTGATTCAAAGGGAATACATCTGAAAATGAAACAAAAGGACAATTTCATTTCAAAATTAGAGACACAGAGAGAGAGAGAGAGAGAGAGGGAAATATTTTCAAGTTTGGAATTCGGAGTACAGTTGAGACGGGCCCTTTCCTCAAACTTTTCATCATTATACAGGGTTGTAAACACATAAACGTTAATCACGAAAATTACTCGAATTTCATTCACCTAAATCTAATCACCTTTATATTCTTTTGAGGTGACAAATTTAAATAACCAAAGCCAGTGGGCATTCATTTTTTCCTTGGTCGCTGAAAATCTTTCCCATTAAATTGTCGTTTACCGGGTCGATATGGCCCGTTTTAAATACTCTTGGGCTAAATAGTCAATGTATGTAGTTAACAGGGTTATGGCTGGACCTAAATGTTGGATCAAGACTGCCCACGAGTCCGTTTTCATTTCTACACATGTCTTGTCATGAATCATGATTGTTCATACTATAAGAGGGCGTTTGGTTGAGGGTTATCTAAGATTATTAGGATTAAGTTATCTTATATTACTTGATTACCATGTTTAGTTGTCAAGTAATATAAAATACCGGTAATCTTCAAATACCAATAGTAGTTACTATTGATAATATTGGAGTTAATCTGATTACCTCAATTTTCTTAGGTATTCTAAGATTACCAGGATTATCTTTTTTTGTTACAATTTTATCCCTTATTAATAAAATTTTAGGACAACAATGCCCTTATTTTTTAATTTATTTACATGAATATGGCTTTTACTATTTCACCCCAATTAATTAACATTTTGGACAAAATTACCCTTAAATTCAAAACAAATTATAGCCCACCCAGGCCACCACCCCCACCCACCTGCTGTCGGCAACCACCGCCGCAGCTAGTAGCTGTCGCCGTTGGAATGGCGCATAGAAGGCCAAAAATGGTCGCTGTGTGCCAATATGGCCATTTCTGGCCAGATATGTGGCCGGAAATGGCCAGATCTGGCCGTTGACGGCTAGATCCATCATCGATCTGGTCGTTGATGGCTAGATCCAGATCGAAGACCTTTAACGACAACGTCTGAGGTCGTTAACGACCATCGATCTGGCTGTCTGTCACGTCTGGCCATTTCCGACCAGATCTCTGGCCGGAAATGGCCATATGGCACACGGAGGCCATTTCCTGCCTTCCGTGCTACGGTGGTTGCCGGCGGCCGGCAGTGGCTAGGTTGGTCGGGGTGTTTTGTTGATTTTTCAAACTTTTATTATGGGGTTGTTTTTGTTAAGTTTTTAAATGTAGGGGGGTTATAGTAATCCAAATAATAATCAATATTAAAAAACAATATAATAGTAATATTTAATTAGAGGATAATTCAGTAATTTAAATAATATACCTACCAATTTATTCCTCCCAACCAAACATATTAATATAATATACCCACCAATTAACCAAACACATTTTCCTAAAAATTCTCAGTAATCTTCAGATAATCTATCTTTCCAGTAATCCAATATTCCCTAAACCAAATGCCTGAAAATTAACTATTGTGTTCGGTAATGCTCAAATAGTTTTTATTATGGTTTGTTCTCATAATTGATGTTAATGTAAAATTAACGAGGCGAGGATGGGTCTCTAAAAATTCCCTGTGGGAATCCCCCCCATCCCTGTAATGGGGATGGGACAAGGAGTGAATATGAGGGTGGGGAATGGGGTCCCCAACCCCTCCCCGCCCCATTGCCATGCCTGTTAAAACTTCAAAATTACATATACTTCAATAAGAAATACAAGAGTCAAGTTAAATATGCATTCTCTCCACAGGGCAAACTTGCATAATACAGTGTAGCATCAGATGAATAGATGAAAATTTCAACGTGCTCCAAGGAAGATAATATGAGAAATGCGATGAAAGTGTCCGGAAGCACTTTGTGATTTATCAAATGTGGCAGTTTGAATACTACAGAAAGCAAATATAGATAGCCTATACACACTATCAAAATGATGTTTGAATTACATCCTAGTTGTACTTTGTACAATTCCAAAATGATAATTACCTGATGATCTTATAAAGAATCATTGTGGACATACATGTAATTGGTCATTTACTGATCACATCGAACCAAGTGAGTTGAAATGAGTCCATGCGTCCTGCATGCCAATACACAAAACTTTGTTACTACAGCTTAAACTTACAATCACCGCAAAACCTGTTTGTCTACTCTCTGTCGAAAACAACATAGGCCACATGCAGAAAGCAAACATGTCTTGCTATTTTCCAAGTTAATAACGCACATGGCAATGCTTTGTCAACCATCTTTTTGTCGGTAGCAGCTAAAGATTTTCAAATTTTGGTGTGGGTTCTTTTATGTCCCTCTACAAAACATGGGCGACACAAGAATGTTAATATGCAGAAGATTGGTACTGGTACATTAAGAAAACGACAATAAGCGTGTTATAACTTATACGCAAAGCTGTTGCTGTCATGGTGGTTCAGTTGTCTTCTGACTTCTACCCACGCCTCCTCTCCCATCCTCTCACAGCCATTGATCACGTCGAGCCAAAAACTTTTACATGGGACCTTGTCTCATCAGATTGATTGATTTGTTTTTGGTCTTATTTGCGTCTGTTTTTGAAAAAAATTTGCAGTCAAAGTTTTTCCATTTCTCTGGGCAGAACATAAATTATGGTTTAGATACAAATGGCTTCTCTTTTAACTGTATGAGAACTTCAATTAAATTAAATGGATGATTAAATACATGGACTTGTCAACATGTTAGAGAACTATAAGCATCAGAAGTTGACAGTAGTTCTAAATAATTTGGATAAGAGTTTAATTAAAGACAAGTGCAGCCGGCAGAGAATAAAGAAAGAGGAGTGAAAGTCAACTGCAAATCTCAACAAATTTTATTTCCAACGACTTAGGGCTGGCCAGCAATACTTAAAATCCATCACATATAAAAGTACATTTCACTAGAAACCTGCAATTTATCAGAAACTAAAGAAAAGCTAAAATGAACATAATAGAAATTCCCGTGAACATGAACTGAAGCATGAACATGAAGCAACTGCAGACAATCATGACCTAATCTTGAAACCACTGGAAGCTTTACAGAATAAACCAATCTTATCCTTAAAAACGCAATAAAGTAAACTAATTATAGCAACTTTCACCTCAAACTATGAAATTAGCAGCAATGAAAGTAACAATATTCATCATCAGATGAAATAAAATTGTAGCATTCCCTCAAACTATGAACAGAAATAGTCAAATGGGTCTCAACACAAAAAGATCAGCTTTAAATTAAAGAATAGAAGTCGTCTTACTTCAGATCCAGTTGAAACTATTTATGCCAAAAATAAATAGCTAGATATTAACAATGAAATTTAGAAAAACGAAGAAAAAAAAGGCATAGATTGATAATTTGGAGGGGATCTTCCTCCAATTTCAAAGTTGATTGTTATATTTCTTTTGCCATTACAATATATAGAGTCCACAAAAGTAAAAAAAAATCAACAAAGGAAAAGGAATTACGAGGAAATCTTCTCCACATGCTAACATTGTAGAAAAGGAAAGTGAACTTTATCACCAAATTAAAAGAAGAGAATAATGTAGCAGCGTTGTTTGGGAAATTATAGGTCAGACTAAGCAAAATATATCAGGAAACTCAACACAACTTATCAAAAAACTCCAAAATTTGATTCTTATCCAGAAATTTCCAGGCGACTAAACAACCAAGAAGAGTGAGAATCAAGCGAAAACGGAAGCACATAAAGAACTGAAAACAACTAAAAAATATATGCCAGTGCAAATTTACAAGAACAAAACTAGAGAAAATTAGAAGTACAAAAGAGAAAAGTAAGTAAAGGAACTCACAGATTCTGAGAGGATCGACATTGATTTAAAGGCGAGACAAACCAGCAGCTTAAGGTTTAGCTGCTCCTTAAACAAACACTACCATCTTCCCAGTTATGACGAAGATAAAGAAACAAATGGCAAAGAGAAGCTAAAATTTAGCAGTTAAGAGAATAACCAGAGAGTCAACAAAGACTCTCTCTTCTCTTCAACCACCTAAATCACATTCACAGGCAAGGCAATCTTAATTGAGTTCCTTCTTTGTCAATTAATTAATTAAAAAAAAAAAAAAAAGCAAAAACTATATTTATGAGTCATTTGTCTTACTGAGTTGGAGTAGTCATTGTCCCGGTGAGCACGTGCCAAGTTATTATTATATTGTTTCTTTTATCCTCTCTCTCTCTCTCTCTCTCTCTCTCTTAGCAGTCAATAATAACAATCAATCATAAAAGGAAATAATTTTGGTAAGATCATTCATTCAATCCTTGTCTGTGATAATGTCAGTGACAGTGAGGGGTCCGCACTCACCTAATTTCAACTTCTACTTACTTCAATTCAACTCACATGTGATGAGATTAATTCGCTCAATCAGTGTTTCTCCTGTTTACAGTTCACCTCTTTCTTTCTCTTCTATTCATCTTTCACAGTATCAATTACCGCTCATAATCAACCATATTTTAAAGTGTGAATGATTGATTCTCTGAAATCACTGGAGGTTGAGGAGGGGGTTCACATGTCGTTTTCTTTAGATGTTATACATGATAAGCATTTTAAAGGCAATGATAAAATTTGCATAAAACTTGAACGTATCCATCAATTTTTAAAGGCAATTGGACTTTGACCAGATCACAAAACCAAGTTTATGGTCCCTTAACTGCATTACAACTTGCAGAACCAGGAAAAAAAAATCTCGAAAATTGTTTGAATGAGTTCTTTCACCCTTGTGAAAACACGATTCGAACCGAATTGAACAAATCTCAGAAAGAAAGAATTTAATATTATTGGAAAAAAATTGTGTTCTTGTCTTCAAAGTAAAAATAAATAAGTAAAAATTCTGAGAAAATATATATAAGATAATAAGAGGTTGGCCAGCTCTGAAGTTGGCCAGCTCTTCCTCACGACGGGATAGCTCCTTCTGTCATGTCTGCTGCCTTCATCAATATCTTGTGTCATCACTTATTTATCTTTTCCTCTCCTGTAAGTCTGTAACCACCACCTCTCATAAATTTGGTCAATTACTATCAGAAAGAAACTCTTCAATTTATTGGTTTGTAAAATTTATGCCGCAAATGTTGTATAAGAAATGAATCTGGAATGTTCACATCCTTGCATTTAAATGATTGGCGAAGAACATTAAACCCTGAAATCAAGTATTACTATTACTAGCAAATTTTGGTGTGGGTTCTTTTATGTCCCTCTACCAAAACATGGGCGACACAAGAATGTTAATATGCAGAAGATTGGTACTGGTACATTAAGAAAACGACAATAAAGCGTGTTATAACTTACACGCATAAAGCTGTTGCCTGTCATGGTGGTTCAGTTGTTCTTCTGACTTCTACCCACGCCCTCTCTCCCATCCTCTCACAGCCATTGATCACGTCGAGCCAAAACAACTTTTACATGGGACCCTTTGTCCCATCAGCTTGATTGATTTGTTTTTGGTCTTATTTGCTTTTTCGTTTTTTTGAAAAAAAATTTGCAGTCAAAGTTTTTCCATTTCTCTGGGCAGAACATAATAATTATGGTTTAGATACAAATGGCTTCTCTTTTTGACTGTATGACGAACTACAATTAAATTAAGTGGATGATTAAATATCATTGATAGAATATGATATCGTGAAACTTATACTCTATGACTATTATTGAGAAAAGAGACATTGAATTATAGATACAGGGAGGGACTTCATTTGTTAAATAGTAAACCAACTCTCAGGTACAGGTCAGACACAGTTGCCACATTTAACTATTTAAGACATTGGTTTTGTGATTCAAAGGGAATACATCTGAAAATGAAACAAAAGGACAATTTCATTTCAAAATTAGAGACACAGAGAGAGAGAGAGAGAGAGAGGGAAATATTTTCAAGTTTGGAATTCGGAGTACAGTTGAGACGGGCCCTTTCCTCAAACTTTTCATCATTATACAGGGTTGTAAACACATAAACGTTAATCACGAAAATTACTCGAATTTCATTCACCTAAATCTAATCACCTTTATATTCTTTTGAGGTGACAAATTTAAATAACCAAAGCCAGTGGGCATTCATTTTTTACTTCGTCGCTGAAAATCTTTCCCATTAAATTGTCTTTTACCGGGTCGATATGGCCCGTTTTAAATACTCTTGGGCTAAATAGTCAATGCATGTAGTTAACAGGGTTATGGCTGGACCTAAATGTTGGATCAAGAACTGCCCCCGAGTCCGTTTTCATTTCTACACATATCTTGTCATGATTGTTCATACTCTAAGGGGGCGTTTGGTTGGGGGTTATCTGAGATTATTAGGGTTAAGTCATCTTATATTACTTGATTACCATATTTGGTTATCAAGTAATATAAAATACCGATAATCTTCAAATACCAATAGTGGTTATTATTAGTAACATTGGAGGTAATCTAATTACCTCTATTTTCTTAGGTATTCTAAGATTACCAGAATTTTCTTTTTTTGTTACAATTCTATCCCTTATTAATAAAATTTTAGGACAATAATGCCCTAATTTTTGAATTTATTTACATGAATATGACTTTTACTATTTCACCATAATTAATTAATATTTTGGACAAAATTACCCTTAATTTCAAAACAAATTATAGCTCACCTAGGCCACCACCCCCACCCACCTGCTGCCGCCTACCACCGCCGCGACCAATAGCCATCGCCGCCGAAACAGTACACGGAAGGCCGAAAATGGCCACTGTGCGCCGATATGGCCATTTTCGGCTAGATATCTGGCCGGAAATGGCCAGATCATGCCAGATCTGGCTGTTGACGGCTAGATCCGTAATCAATCTGGCTGTTGACAGCCAGATCCAGATCGATGGCCATTAACGGCAACGTCTGAAGTCGTTAACGACCATCAATCTGGCCGTCGAAGGCCATATCTGTCACGTTTGGCAATTTCCGGCCTGATCTTTAGTCGAAAATCGCCATACGGCGCAAGAACGCCATTTCCTGCCTTCCGTGCGCCTTTAGGTTGCCGGCGGCCGACAGTGGCTGGGTTGGTGGGGTGTTTTGTTGATTTTTCAAACTTTTATTATGGGGTTGTTTTTGTTAAGTTTTTAAATGTAGGGGGTTATAATAATTCAAATAATAATCAATATTAAAAAATAATATAATAATAATATTTAATTAGAGGACAATTCAGTAATTTAAATAACATACCTACTAATTTATTTTTCCCAACCAAACATATTAATATAACATACCCACCAATTAACCAAATACATTTTCCTAAAGATTCCCAGTGATCTTCAAGGTAATCTATCTTTCCAGTAATCCAACATTCCCTGAACCAAACGGCCATTAAAAACTTAGGCATGGCAATGGCCCCCGACGCATCCCACCCCCACCCTGCATGTGGCGGGGATTCCTTGCTTTTTGTGGGGATAGGGGCGGGAATGGGGAGTGCCCTTCCCCGCCCTACCTGTATATAATATATTATATATATTTACTTTACAAAATATGACAATACTGAAATGGTTTTTGTTTTGTTTATTCATTTGGTGTAATTGATCAAATACATAATGAGTTTATATTTTGGACAAGTGCAATGTCTTAGTTTAAGTTTAGACGATTAATTTAAGTGTTTGTCATATGGATGAATCTCAACATTGAAAGTGAATTAACTATTGTGTTTGGTAATGCTCAAATAGTTTTTATCATGGTTTGTTCTCATAATTGATGTTAATGTAAAATTAACGAGGCGAGGATGGGCCTCTAAAAATTCCCCGTGGGAATCCCCGCCATCCTTGTAATGGGGACGGGACAAGGAGTGAATATGAGGGCGGGGAGGGGTTGGGCATTGCCATGCCTGTTAAAACTTCAAAATTACATATACTTCAATAAGAAATACAAGAGTTAAGTTAAATATGCATTCTCTCCACAGGGCAAACTTGCATAATACAGTGTAGCATCAGGTTAATAGATGGAAATTTCGACGTGCTCCAAAGAAGATAATATGACAAATGCGATGAAAGCGTCCGGAAGCACTTTGTGATTTATCAAATGTGGCAGTTTGAATACAACAGAAAGCAAATATAGATAGCCTATACACACTATGAAAATGATGTTTGAATTAGATCCTAGTTTTACTTTGTACAATTCCAAAATGATAATTACCTGATGATCTTATAAAGAATCATTGTGGACATACATGTAATTGGTCATTTACTGATCACATCGAACCAAGTGAGTTGAAATGAGTCCATGCGTCCTGCATGCCAATACACAAAACTTTGTTACTACAGCTTAAACTTACAATCACCGCAAAACCTGTTTGTCTACTCTCTGTCGAAAACAACATAGGCCACATGCAGAAAGCAAACATGTCTTGCTATTTTCCAAGTTAATAACGCACATGGCAATGCTTTGTCAACCATCTTTTTGTCGGTAGCAGCTAAAGATTTTCAACAGAACTTGTTACTTCGAACAACCGCACAGACAAAAAAAAAAAAAAAAAAAAAAAAAGATATGTTGATTATTCCATTATTCTAAAATGACTGGAGATCATTGTTAACCAGCCAAATTATTTTAAAGATCAAAGATTGATCAATCCATGCGCATAATTCTTGGAAAGGAACTGGAATTTTGAGTAAAAAATATAATACTCTACTGATTAGAAACATAAGGATTATGAAACTTCAATTTCTGTTAAGTACAGGAAGCCTATGTTCGTCTCAAAAATCTCAGATCCTATTTAAAATGAGGCATGCAGGATAGTCAGAAGTCAAGAAGCTAGTCATCTGACATCAAGTCGATAATCTATGAAGCGTACAAATGGTGCTCAAGTATAGCAATAATTACACTAGAATATTACCAACACATATTCCCCTTGTGAAGAAACAACATATGTCAGTAAATAAAGCAGTTATGACAGAACTTCATATACCTGCAGAATATCGAAAACATTTTCTGCTGTGTACTTTTGGTGAGAAGCTGCACCCTTTTGCTGAAGCTTATCTGGGTGCAGACAGAGTAGAGCCTTTTGATAAGACCTTTTCACTGCATTTCCCTCAATTATGTCAACAAGAGGAACCGGCTTCCACCCACAATCAGGCCAAAGAACCTACATGTTTAACCAATATTAATCTTTCAGAAATGAGGAAAGTGCACACAGAACAGCAAAGAGAATATGTCACCAATATTATGCTAGTTACACAAAGTGAAGAGCGTTAATGTCTAAACTTACACATTATATCATTAGACGTCATGGGTAACAACCAATTTCTTTTTTAAAGAAAAGTAAAGAATAGAAAAAGAGACACAGAGAATTACAAAAGACCATGTTGCAGACATTAGCAAGAAGCTGACCACCATGTAGTAGATATATAAATGTGGTTACATTTCCCCTGGGCAAATCCCTTTCCTTCACCATAAGTTCCTTTTTCAAGGAAATATTACTTCAACTTACCAACATGAGATGATTAAAGAAAAAGGAATTTCCAGAAAAAAGAATGGCACTGTGTCCAATATGCTGTACTCACATATTGTAAGGTTGACAGCAGTGAGCGTATGTTTCTTTCCTTTCCATTTGACCACTGTCGTATTTTAGCATCAATGGCCTGCAACACCTGAAATTTCAATATTACTGCTTCCTAACAAAATTGAAAGGAACATGTTTGTCTGTGCATGTATTCTACAGAACCTGGATATCTTCATGATCATTGCCAGCTTGTGGCAGTTTATTCTCATCTTCCGTGAGCTCTTTTACCTGTTGATAGCCCAAGCAAGCAAGCTTGTTAGAAATGCAATTCAAACTAGACCTTACGAATAGGAAAATGATGCTCTTTTATTAAATATATATTCTTCAAGAGAAAAAGTTTAGTTTCTTTATACTAATAGAAGTTTATATGGCATGAGGATTCATGTATTGAAGTTACATGCATTAGCATTATCCATGGGCTGCTTTATGAGAATGATAAAACAGTTAATAAGGGCATGTGGAATCTATTCTTTAGGGATAAATTGCATACCTGAAAGTTTTCTTGAAAGGATTCATCTAGATCTCCAACAACCACCTTTGGATCGTTAGGTATTGATGCTGTAAAAAAAGTGTACATGCATGCATTAATATCATACCTCCCAACAATTAATAATTAAATGCCATGAAGGAAAAAAGAAAAGAAAAAGAATGAATCAAATAGGTAGCATAGCAACATAGTTCAGCTCAGTTTAAAAAAAAAAAAAAAAAAAAAGCCAACAGCAAACAGCAAATGGAGAAAATGGCAACTTCATATAAAGAATGAATTATTGCATCTCAACTTATGCTTGTCATAAATTTGTTAGAAGCCCACACGTTGGCATAGTTTCATAGAAAAAAAGAGATTTAAACTGGATTAGAAGCCAGATCAGCTCATCCTAATTCGTTTCATGATAACTTAGGATAGGACACTGCAAATCCGTGGGCAGCTCCAGCCTCCTAGTCCCAGATGATATGTACTAATAAATTATCTAGAAAATTAGACTAACCAGTACTTGAGCTATCCTTTATTCTGGAAGAACCATTAGACATATGATTGGTGTTCTTTACGGAAGAATGTTGTTTCTCAGACTGTTGGAGATATTCATCAACCTGAATGATTATAAAAAAAAAAACATTCAAATTTTAAGACCCACCATTACCGTTGAGGAAAAAAATTTGATGCTTCTATCTGGTAAATGTTAAATTAAATGCACCACTAATGTGTACCAGATTTGAATCAAGCTATTTTAAGTTTACCGTAATAGGAGCACCAGGCATTGATTTCTTTGTGTGCCCATTGAGCCTGTGAATTTTCTCATCTGTTCCAGTCTTGCTAAAATTCACTTCCTTCCGTGCTTTGGCTGTGCCTATCGCTTTCCAGCTAGAGCTCTGACTGGGAGACGCGACACTAGTTTCTGGTTTTGCTAATGATTCCTGGTTGAAAATTTTAACAAACTCTTTAACCTTTCCCTTAACTCTGATTTTGCCAGGATCTCCTGAGTTGATGGTTGAAGCTTGCAAGCTAGCCTTACCAACTTCTGCATTGTCCAATGTAGGCTTCTTTCCATCTCGCTTTTTCATGATTCTACTAGAATCAAAAACGACAGATGATTTTTTAGTTATTTTCACGGTGCTTTCTTTTCTACTAGCCTTTTCCGGTATATCCTCATTGCCTGCATAGAATAGAAGAAAACAAAGTGCTTTTAGTATTTAAGAAGATGAATGGGAATAGGTGAAAACTCATTACTACTAATACTCATGAAATGGATCATGACTCACTTTGTTCAAAATCATTATCGTAAAACAGAGAACATAGGGGTTTCAAATCAGGCTTGCGACCTTCTTCAGCAACCACAGACTTCTTTTTCTCTAATATATCAGACAAACCTATCTTAGATTGAGAATAGGTCTGGGTTTCTTCTCCTGTACTTTGTGAAATAGAATCATCAGGACCAACTCGCTGACATGGTTCTACTCTATCTTGTGTGCTTGTAACAGAAGGTGAGCCATTATCTTGTTCGTTATGTTCCATTGCGAAAGACTTAGTATCCGGCAAGATTTCTTTAGGTAATTCTCTCGCCATTCTCTCACTTCCAATCCATCCATCAGAGCCGGAGGATCTATCAGTGCCACTGTCTTCTTTTAATCTTGAACTATTCCCTCCTCTAGGAGGCATAGCTAATGCTAATGGTACTCCCTTGCTTGCCCATTTGTATATTGAAAAGTGAAACGGACTCTCATTTGTCACAGCTTCTGAACTATTTGATTCCTTTTTTAAATCAATTTCTGTGTCTGTTTCATCATATTTGGTCAAATTTGATGACTGTTCGCTGTTAAGAGATAACTCCCTGGATAAAAGGCTTTGACGATGAGAAGATCGAGCATCATTTCTTTCCTCTTGATCCTGGTTTAGGCTTGATGTTCTTGAAAGAGGAGATGGATATAAATTCATTCCATTTGAAGCTCCTTCCTTGCTTTTATACGGGCTACGATGAGTGGATCCAAATGTTGGAAGTTCCATCCCTTTCGTCAATTTNAGATCAGCTCATCCTAATTCATTTCATAATAACTTAGGATAGGACACTGCAAATCCTTGGGCAGCTCCAGCCTCCTAGTCCCAGATGATATGTACTAATAAATTATCTAGAAAATTAGACTAACCAGTACTCGAGCTATCCTTTATTCTGGAAGAACCATTAGACATATGGTTGGTGTTCTTTACGGAAGAATGTTGTTTCTCAGACTGTTGGAGATATTCATCAACCTGAATGATTATAAAAAAAAAAACATTCAAATTTTAAGACCCACCATTACCGTTGAGGAAATAAATTTGATGCTTCTATCTGGTAAATGTTAAATTAAATGCACCACTAATGTGTACCAGATTTGAATCAAGCTATTTTAAGTTTACCGTAATAGGAGCACCAGGCATTGATTTCTTTGTGTGCCCATTGAGCCTGTGAATTTTCTCATCTGTTCCAGTCTTGCTAAAATTCACTTCCTTCCGTGCTTTGGCTGTGCCTATCGCTTTCCAGCTAGAGCTCTGACTGGGAGACGCGACACTAGTTTCTGGTTTTGCTAATGATTCCTGGTTGAAAATTTTAACAAACTCTTTAACCTTTCCCTTAACTCTGATTTTGCCAGGATCTCCTGAGTTGATGGTTGAAGCTTGCAAGCTAGCCTTACCAACTTCTGCATTGTCCAATGTAGGCTTCTTTCCATCTCGCTTTTTCATGATTCTACTAGAATCAAAAACGACAGATGATTTTTTAGTTATTTTCACGGTGCTTTCTTTTCTACTAGCCTTTTCCGGTATATCCTCATTGCCTGCATAGAATAGAAGAAAACAAAGTGCTTTTAGTATTTAAGAAGATGAATGGGAATAGGTGAAAACTCATTACTACTAATACTCATGAAATGGATCATGACTCACTTTGTTCAAAATCATTATCGTAAAACAGAGAACATAGGGGTTTCAAATCAGGCTTGCGACCTTCTTCAGCAACCACAGACTTCTTTTTCTCTAATATATCAGACAAACCTATCTTAGATTGAGAATAGGTCTGGGTTTCTTCTCCTGTACTTTGTGAAATAGAATCATCAGGACCAACTCGCTGACATGGTTCTACTCTATCTTGTGTGCTTGTAACAGAAGGTGAGCCATTATCTTGTTCGTTATGTTCCATTGCGAAAGACTTAGTATCCGGCAAGATTTCTTTAGGTAATTCTCTCGCCATTCTCTCACTTCCAATCCATCCATCAGAGCCGGAGGATCTATCAGTGCCACTGTCTTCTTTTAATCTTGAACTATTCCCTCCTCTAGGAGGCATAGCTAATGCTAATGGTACTCCCTTGCTTGCCCATTTGTATATTGAAAAGTGAAACGGACTCTCATTTGTCACAGCTTCTGAACTATTTGATTCCTTTTTTAAATCAATTTCTGTGTCTGTTTCATCATATTTGGTCAAATTTGATGACTGTTCGCTGTTAAGAGATAACTCCCTGGATAAAAGGCTTTGACGATGAGAAGATCGAGCATCATTTCTTTCCTCTTGATCCTGGTTTAGGCTTGATGATCTTGAAAGAGGAGATGGATATAAATTCATTCCATTTGAAGCTCCTTCCTTGCTTTTATACGGGCTACGATGAGTGGATCCAAATGTTGGAAGTTCCATCCCTTTCGTCAATTTCGCAGGGAGGCTGCAAGGAAAAATGCAGTTAAAATTTGCCGAGACAATCAGAAAGTAGAACAAGGACGCAAATCTATATCGAGCACAGACTTTGATATGTATGTGAAATTGGAGAACAAGGGAATTCGGGAAACTCAGTAAAGCCTTAATTTTTTTACTTGTGGCGTTGATCAATATAATATACAGTAAAATATAGAAAATTGCAAGATAGCAGTAACAAAAGAAAATACAAGGAGGCTTAAGCCAATTGATTTGATAATTTACACCTGAGAAAGTAACGCAACCCCATGTCAAATATTAATTAATATACAGAGATGTGTGTTTCATTATTTATTTATTTATTTATATCAGAAATCCCAAAAACTATTTTATGATGAAGTTCTAAAATTCGACCGTTAGTTATGGAATCGGAAAATAATACATGAACGACGTAGAGTAGAGAAGAAAGAAGATACAGAACGTTCATAATATCAAGAACGAGAGATAAGTGAGGCTTAAGAGGAAGATTATTAGATGTTTATTCACGCATCATTATATTGTGATAAAAAGTAAAGCCAAAACCTGAATTGTGCAGGAAGTGAACTCCCATATGGTTCGGCTTTAGGTGGTAGAGGCCGGGCAGGGCTTAAAACTCGAGAACCTGGTGAAGAAGAATATGGGTCCCAATCACGCTTCCGTGGAGAAGAACTCAAAGACTCGTTGCCTTTAAAAATATCATCAAAGAAGTTCTCACTCCGATGCTGTCTGCGGTTCATACCTTCTTCCCCAAACACCGGCTTCTCGCTGAGAGCATTCCATGAATTACGAGAACCAACTGTTTCATCATGCCCTCTAGACGCTGAGTTATCTGCAGCTTCACTGAAACTGTACCGCATCTCGTGAACGGATGACCGCCTAGGTGGCCCACCAAACACATCGTTAAAATCAATATCTGAATTTCTGTAAGGTGAATTGGGAGAAGCAGCGTCGTTGATGAATGAACTTCGAGGACTATAACCTAAAAGAACACTTTCTCTTTGAGAAAACCTCTCCATTGCCAAACAAGGCAGATCTATCACAACAAATCAATCGACTCTTGTTGAAGCATCTTAAAATAAAATTGGCGGGAAATAATATAAGCTGGAGCAACGGTTACAGCATGTTGAATCAAATCAGAGAGCCAATGAAAGTGAGGAATAATGTAGGTGATGAGGAAAAATTTTGATAGAGAAAATACAGAAGAAGAAGAAGACAGAGTGGGGTCTTGGGGCTGAAGTTTAGAGGGTTTACAGTGATTTGAAGCCGCACAAGCTTTGGTCAGGAGGATAAGTTCAGAAAAATACAAATGATAATTGAAGGTATTAGTCCATTTTGTCATGTACTTTAATTATTATTTCTCTTGGCAACAGTTAATTTGAAATTTATGTGATACTACATCACGGAGAGTTCGCTGTCTACGGGCAGACAGCCTGTTATGTGGATTATGATTTCCTTTTGTTTTTTGGTTGGCTAAACTAATCACGATATCCGTTTTCTTCTGTTGTTTTTTATGTCTTTGCAGGATAACTCATGTCCTACGTTTAGTATCTTGTAAGAATAAATTTACCAATTGTTTTTGAGTTTATCAAAGCAGCGCCATGCTTGTTTTTTAAGATATTGTCAGCTTCCAATTGAATTGCATGGTCTGCTTTAAAACAATTTTTTTGCTGGAATTTCTACGTGAAAAACTACACCCTTCAATGCGCAATCTTCATGCAATAGTAACGTTAAAAACAGTAATTCTGCGTTCCAAGGACAAGGAGATATTCATGCCAGAACGGTGACATGCTGATCTGATGACATCCAGAAAATTTGCAATAAGTGAACAAAAGACAGACCACCTATCCATAGTCTCTGTTTAGATGTAATATGGACTGTGGGGATCGACCAATGCAGAACACATTAACAGAAAGAATGAGGGTTCAGCTGATGTCCACATATAAGCTCAGTTTCAGGCTTTCAGCTGGTCATGCATCTTCCATGATTGAGAATAAATACTCCTATCGCAACCGATTTACCCCACTGGATTCTTCAAGCCATCTCTTGCCTAGAGGTCCCTGATCCAATCTCCAGAAGCTTATAAACCCAACAATCATTCTAGAAAAGAGTGGGTCAGGCAAACAGTGCATAGGTCAAAAGATGGGAACAAGTGCAAATAAATTATTCTAGAAAAGAGTTGATCAGGCAAATAATGCGTAGGTCTACAGATGGGAACAAGTGCAAATAACAACCTCTTTATGATGAAAGACAACAAAATCCTCAACAAGAGAAAATTACCCAAGTCGAATACAAAGAAAACTTCAAAGGAACAACCAGGGAAAGAAACCGATGAAAATATATCACATTGCTTCAAAGGAACAACGAGGGAAGTAAAATAAAATTGAACTAACACTATAATTCTTCAGTTAACAATAGCAAGAACTGAAATAAGGAGCCCATACAAGGAACAAAACTGGATCTTAGTTCTAACCTTACCATTCAGAACCATCTGGGAAAGCATCTAGTGCATCTCGCTTGCCATTCACATAGTATTCTACAATTGCTTGCATTCTTGGCAATTTATCAGGATGGTAATTTACATGAATGATTACTGGCTTCAACTTTTTCAGTTTATCATCTCTTCTCACTGTCTTGAAGAGGACCTTACTATTCATGAATAGATAGTAATCCATAGTTCTCTTCGAAGCATGAAGCCCAGTATAACCAGGGTGTGAAGGGAAAAAGAGCTCCTCATTAAAAACTGCTTGGTCCCATGCCTTTTCCTTAGACAGTCGATCAGCTACGCGATCCAAAAGCTCAATTGAAGGTATTGTAGGCCTAATATAAAAGAAACCAGAGTTGTAGACCCATATCCTCATTGTATGAGCATATCGTGCCCAACCCATGGATGGTTCATCAAAGACATCGTTATAGCCATATGCTGTCATATTATTGTGACCATCAGTCATAGACTCCACATCTGAGTCCCGATAAAGATAATCAAAAGGGTTCCGCAAATACACTATATCAACATCAGAGAGAAGAACACTGTAACCAAGCTGCAAAAACTCCCTCAAGATACGGAACTTTAGTCCAGAGACAGCATGGTTACCCCCTGTCCTAGCAATTGAATCAATACCCACATCTGGATCTCTCTTATACACTGGAACATCATTTGTTTTGCAGAATTCTGCAATCGGGTCATCTAACGCTACAACCAGGTAATTAATAATACCTGCTTTTTTAATGTTGGCAAACCAAACCTCTAACATACTTTTCACATTTGAATTTGCAAGAGCAACTATAAGTTCTTTTCCAACAGCAACTTCCTCCAAGATCTTTGCCAATCTTGGATTCACAGATTCGTCAGGAATAACAGTAGGATTAGTTCTCAAACCCTTAACTGTTCCCATAGGCCCAACTTTGTGTTGATCACCCAATACCATTACCTGCTTTTGTGCATGATCTTTTCCTTGTTCAGCCAACCGTAGCTTTTCAGTAAGCTTCCTGACCTGCTTCTTCAACTCAACATTCCTATCAGTTAGTGATGCTATATCTGACTTCAGCATGTTCACCCGCTCTGGTGACTCACAAGAAGATCCGCTCTAACAAACAAACAGTAGGAATAGTAAGACTATGTAACTATTCTTTATCAAGCCACAGAATTTATGGTATCCGTAAATCTTTAAAACCAATTAGTTGTTAGCAGCATATATGTTAATGCCAAACCATGTCAAATTAAAAGATTAACAGTACAATCACAGCCAGCCATCCAAGCTCACAAAGCCACGAGTACAACAAAAGCCATATACTGAATTAAGCCACAAAGTAATGGTATAAGATCAGAGATCATGTAGTTGAAACTCGACTTAACCCAATACAACTCTATTCGAATTCGTATTAAACTAAAGCTAACTAATAATCTCTTATCCACTCAATTAATCTTCTAAGACGAATTGTTTTAAGTCAACGCTCTGAAATTTATAAATTTGAAGAAAGTATAACAAAGCCAATCAATCCAATTCAAGAACACGCCAACAAATGATTGACGTTAGCAATCAACACTAACTAAAAAACGTAAGCACTCAGAAAGAGTAATTTGAAGTACAAAAGATAAACAAATAAATTTAGGAAACCTGGTAATTGGACTTGATTGTTCGACGATTTTGGATAGGCGGATTGGAGCTGAAGAAACCGTGAGGAAACAAGAAAGCGAAAACGCATCCGACAAGAACTCCGATCACAATGGCTACGACTATTCGAGATCCGCGAATTGATTGGACTTTATCTCTACGACCTGCCATTTCTCTATAAATCTCTGTTTATAGTTCTATATAAAAAGCTTTCCTGTTCTTGGCATGAATGAATGAAGGGTGGGTTTTGATAGATCTTTGATTTGAGCTAAAAAGACTTTTTAGGGAAAAATATGTGATCCAGTAGCCTTAGCTCGACTTTTTTATATCTGTTTACGGTCTGTAATGGAGATTTTTCAACCAAGCCTAACCCAGACAAGAGAGAGGAGAAGAAAATTTCATGCCAAGTTGTGGCAGAGCAATTATAAAAAAAAAACATTGCCAAACAAGGCAGATCTATCACAACAAATCAATCGACTCTTGTTGAAGCATCTTAAAATAAAATTGGCGGGAAATAATATAAGCTGGAGCAACGGTTACAGAATGTTGAATCAAATCAGAGAGCCAATGAAAGTGAGGAATAATGTAGGTGATGAGGAAAAATTTTGATAGAGAAAATACAGAAGAAGAAGAAGACAGAGTGGGGTCTTGGGGCTGAAGTTTAGAGGGTTTACAGTGATTTGAAGCCGCACAAGCTTTGGTCAGGAGGATAAGTTCAGAAAAATACAAATGATAATTGAAGGTATTAGTCCATTTTGTCATGTACTTTAATTATTATTTCTCTTGGCAACAGTTAATTTGAAATTTATGTGATACTACATCACGGAGAGTTCGCTGTCTACGGGCAGACAGCCTGTTATGTGGATTATGATTTCCTTTTGTTTTTTGGTTGGCTAAACTAATCACGATATCCGTTTTCTTCTGTTGTTTTTTATGTCTTTGCAGGATAACTCATGTCCTACGTTTAGTATCTTGTAAGAATAAATTTACCAATTGTTTTTGAGTTTATCAAAGCAGCGCCATGCTTGTTTTTTAAGATATTGTCAGCTTCCAATTGAATTGCATGGTCTGCTTTAAAACAATTTTTTTGCTGGAATTTCTACGTGAAAAACTACACCCTTCAATGCGCAATCTTCATGCAATAGTAACGTTAAAAACAGTAATTCTGCGTTCCAAGGACAAGGAGATATTCATGCCAGAACGGTGACATGCTGATCTGATGACATCCAGAAAATTTGCAATAAGTGAACAAAAGACAGACCACCTATCCATAGTCTCTGTTTAGATGTAATATGGACTGTGGGGATCGACCAATGCAGAACACATTAACAGAAAGAATGAGGGTTCAGCTGATGTCCACATATAAGCTCAGTTTCAGGCTTTCAGCTGGTCATGCATCTTCCATGATTGAGAATAAATACTCCTATCGCAACCGATTTACCCCACTGGATTCTTCAAGCCATCTCTTGCCTAGAGGTCCCTGATCCAATCTCCAGAAGCTTATAAACCCAACAATCATTCTAGAAAAGAGTGGGTCAGGCAAACAGTGCATAGGTCAAAAGATGGGAACAAGTGCAAATAAATTATTCTAGAAAAGAGTTGATCAGGCAAATAATGCGTAGGTCTACAGATGGGAACAAGTGCAAATAACAACCTCTTTATGATGAAAGACAACAAAATCCTCAACAAGAGAAAATTACCCAAGTCGAATACAAAGAAAACTTCAAAGGAACAACCAGGGAAAGAAACCGATGAAAATATATCACATTGCTTCAAAGGAACAACGAGGGAAGTAAAATAAAATTGAACTAACACTATAATTCTTCAGTTAACAATAGCAAGAACTGAAATAAGGAGCCCATACAAGGAACAAAACTGGATCTTAGTTCTAACCTTACCATTCAGAACCATCTGGGAAAGCATCTAGTGCATCTCGCTTGCCATTCACATAGTATTCTACAATTGCTTGCATTCTTGGCAATTTATCAGGATGGTAATTTACATGAATGATTACTGGCTTCAACTTTTTCAGTTTATCATCTCTTCTCACTGTCTTGAAGAGGACCTTACTATTCATGAATAGATAGTAATCCATAGTTCTCTTCGAAGCATGAAGCCCAGTATAACCAGGGTGTGAAGGGAAAAAGAGCTCCTCATTAAAAACTGCTTGGTCCCATGCCTTTTCCTTAGACAGTCGATCAGCTACGCGATCCAAAAGCTCAATTGAAGGTATTGTAGGCCTAATATAAAAGAAACCAGAGTTGTAGACCCATATCCTCATTGTATGAGCATATCGTGCCCAACCCATGGATGGTTCATCAAAGACATCGTTATAGCCATATGCTGTCATATTATTGTGACCATCAGTCATAGACTCCACATCTGAGTCCCGATAAAGATAATCAAAAGGGTTCCGCAAATACACTATATCAACATCAGAGAGAAGAACACTGTAACCAAGCTGCAAAAACTCCCTCAAGATACGGAACTTTAGTCCAGAGACAGCATGGTTACCCCCTGTCCTAGCAATTGAATCAATACCCACATCTGGATCTCTCTTATACACTGGAACATCATTTGTTTTGCAGAATTCTGCAATCGGGTCATCTAACGCTACAACCAGGTAATTAATAATACCTGCTTTTTTAATGTTGGCAAACCAAACCTCTAACATACTTTTCACATTTGAATTTGCAAGAGCAACTATAAGTTCTTTTCCAACAGCAACTTCCTCCAAGATCTTTGCCAATCTTGGATTCACAGATTCGTCAGGAATAACAGTAGGATTAGTTCTCAAACCCTTAACTGTTCCCATAGGCCCAACTTTGTGTTGATCACCCAATACCATTACCTGCTTTTGTGCATGATCTTTTCCTTGTTCAGCCAACCGTAGCTTTTCAGTAAGCTTCCTGACCTGCTTCTTCAACTCAACATTCCTATCAGTTAGTGATGCTATATCTGACTTCAGCATGTTCACCCGCTCTGGTGACTCACAAGAAGATCCGCTCTAACAAACAAACAGTAGGAATAGTAAGACTATGTAACTATTCTTTATCAAGCCACAGAATTTATGGTATCCGTAAATCTTTAAAACCAATTAGTTGTTAGCAGCATATATGTTAATGCCAAACCATGTCAAATTAAAAGATTAACAGTACAATCACAGCCAGCCATCCAAGCTCACAAAACCACGAGTACAACAAAAGCCATATACTGAATTAAGCCACAAAGTAATGGTATAAGATCAGCGATCATGTAGTTGAAACTCGACTTAACCCAATACAACTCTAATCGAATTCATATTAAACTAAAGCTAACTAATAATCTCTTATCCACTCAATTAATCTTCTAAGACGAATTGTTTTAAGTCAACGCTCTGAAATTTATAAATTTGAAGAAAGTATAACAAAGCCAATCAATCCAATTCAAGAACACGCCAACAAATGATTGACGTTAGCAATCAACACTAACTAAAAAACGTAAGCACTCAGAAAGAGTAATTTGAAGTACAAAAGATAAACAAATAAATTTAGGAAACCTGGTAATTGGACTTGATTGTTCGACGATTTTGGATAGGCGGATTGGAGCTGAAGAAACCGTGAGGAAACAAGAAAGCGAAAACGCATCCGACAAGAACTCCGATCACAATGGCTACGACTATTCGAGATCCGCGAATTGATTGGACTTTATCTCTACGACCTGCCATTTCTCTATAAATCTCTGTTTATAGTTCTATATAAAAAGCTTTCCTGTTCTTGGCATGAATGAATGAAGGGTGGGTTTTGATAGATCTTTGATTTGAGCTAAAAAGACTTTTTAGGGAAAAATATGTGATCCAGTAGCCTTAGCTCGACTTTTTTATATCTGTTTACGGTCTGTAATGGAGATTTTTCAACCAAGCCTAACCCAGACAAGAGAGAGGAGAAGAAAATTTCATGCCAAGTTGTGGCAGAGCAATTATAAAAAAAAAAAAATTAAGTTAGATGGAGGAACTCAGTGTTTAGTGCGGTAATCTGTTGACTGACCTTTTACCGACATGAAATCTAAACCTTTAGATGATTAGACTTGAAGTGATCGTACGGTTGAAGTTCGCCATTGACTCTTTTGATCAATTACACCAGGAATTAAACAGCCGTATTTGTTTAAAACTTTTGCGTCACCAACTGCATTATGACATAAGGCTACTAACAACATGAATAAATCGCTTCTCCTTAAATTTATAATTTAATTAAATGCCACTTCTCCCCGATTCATGCATTTTTTAAACCCAAAATGAATAATGTCAATGCATTTTAGGAGAAATAAATCGAAAAAGAATTAAAAATTCAAATTTTCTTTTAGTATCATGCATTATAATCATGAAACAAAATATTTATTCTTTATCAAACATATTAATTACTTATGAAATAATGTTAGATTCATAACCTTCTGTCACAACTTTTGATGTGATAGATCACTATTGGTTAACTCGTAAATGGACATTAATAACTTATACAAGCTGGTTGAACCTATTTTGCAAACAGACCAATAACGAACTATCACGTTGAAGATTTAAAAAAACGTTATAAAATTGAATTATAGATCAAACATTACTCTTAATTCGGGAACTTCGATCCAAGCCGGATTTCCGAGAATGAAAATCATTGATTATACTCGTTGAAGACTCATTCACCATCCACGTGAAACAGATGGATCATATTTACCTATAATCCAAAAATTATGCCCATTAAAAGAATTTGCATTTAACAGACATAATGCGTTTAAATCACAGCGGGAGAGCACCTTCTGGGATTGAAGGATAAGAACACTCAAGGTAATAGCGATCTGCCAAAATTTAGATATGAACTTTCATACAGATAAAACAACACTTTCACAAACGAAATAGTGTAATGCAAAATTAATAGCATATATAAATATAAGAAATCAATATAATAAATAGAATAATCAATGAGCAAGACTTAGTGAGTCTGCAAACCGACTCCCCATCCCAACTAACATGAAGTGCTACGTGGCCGACATGGAGACTTTCCACATCGCACTCCACGTCAGTCGGAATGAGGAGTCAATCTATAGAATCGGTAAGTATAATATTTTAAATAATCAATATTTTAATAAAACATATTAAGTCAGTATATAAATTATACTTATATATTACTACTACGAACAAATCAATAAAACTGTATAGTATTCATTATTTTCTTCACAAACACCTGTCCGCATTGAGGGTTAAAACCTTTCCCTGTCTCAAAATTTCAAAACGAGTATAGCAAATTATACACTAAAAAGAAAATATATACAAAAGGTTCGATCGTGAAAATCACCCAGATCACCATCTCCCTCGGCTACATATCACCTCAATTAACTTGACAAAAATAGAGGTGGTCCCAATAAATCAAGATGAAGGGGAACTCAGGATGTCCACACAACGCTAATCGACTACAAAGTACTTTGTGCTTTCTAACAAAATCGTGTTGCTGTGCTGTCCAGTAAACCTCTTAATAAGGTCCTTTAAGTCCTGATCACGTGCTCAAGGAGAAGACTCATTTTCCTGAGTAATAGGGATAAACAAACATTAGAATCTTATTGAAATGGGAGGCTATTCAACGATGGAAAAATGCTATTAACTTCTATTGTTGTGATTAAAAACTCATTGTGAGATTTTTTTTTTTTTTTTTCCTTATTTTCACCTTATGTAATGTATGGCAATTCCATGCCAAAATGACAGAAAACAGGACAACCTAAAACTAAACTCTTCATACATCAGCGTCAAGAGGTTAATTAGTTAAGAGTTTGATTTGCCAATGCAACAAAAATAAATTAATGCAAAAGAAGGATAATGTGTGATAGACATACATTGTTGGAACCGGTAATGTATGAAACAACAACAGTGATGTCATCCAGTTTGCCACCATAATATCGGAACCCGGCATCTTGAGCAGCAGTGGAAAAAGGTGTCTGTCTGTCCTTATCCTGAGCTCGTTGCCGAGCCAAGGCCGCTATCTTTTGAGCTGTCACCTGAGGTCCTAAGCCAGCTCTCACAGCATGAACTACCACTGCAGTAATCTCATTGTTGTACAAGTTATCAAACAGTCCATCAGTGCCGGCAATTATAACATCTCCAGGAGCAACAGGAATTGTAAAAACCTGAATCAAATGGCATAGTTTGTCCAAGTGTTAACAATCAATAGGCTAACAACTAAAATTATTGAAAGAGAAAATAATGCATTCTTCTAATTCATTGTCACTACTTTTTTCTAGAACTAGGTTCTATGAAGTCCAAAAAAAAAAATTGCAACCTCTCCAATTAGAGATATTCCATTCAACATATATCAGACCATAATAGAAATATAATATGGAAAACCATTAGGTAAATATCATGTAGAGTACAGCGAAAAATAATTAAGGATGCAATTGAATGAAGGAAAAAAATAAAAAAAATTCAAGTGTGCTCAATTAATGCATTTAGCAGATAATGAACCCAGATTGATTAATTCAGGTACCCTATAATTATTAAGTCATAAGAGAGTGCTGCAACTGCTTTATGAATGTCTGCTGACAAAAACATTTTAGCCCTCCCCTAAAACATATTCAAAAGGACACCCCATCATATATTCATATTCAAAAGCCTTTTAAGCTAACAAGAGCAAACCAAAATGTAATGTCTTGTATGCCAAAATCTACTGTAGCATCTGTACATATATGTTTCCATTAGTCAAAACAAAATCCAATCATAAATTTCTATTAATAGATCTAAATTAAATGGATGAGCTTTGCAATAAAAGGAACGTGCATGAACAACCTGACCAGAGCTAGGTAAGTCACCATTACTTCCACACTCAAGTTGATAGGTGAAATTGAAATCATGCTGCTGCACAGGAGATCGGAAGACAGTGCATCCATCTCGAACCACCATAAATCCACTGTCTCCTAAATTGATAGCACGAAGACCCTGTGATAAACAAAATCGCCAGAAAGTCAGAATAACAAAAAAATACATTCCCCTGCAAACAGGATGAAGCAGCACGAGCATCATATACAAGATCTGTCACAATGAGAAAATTATTCAATTCTAGCAAATCTCTTAGACAAAGTAGGAAGCACATTAAAAGATTTATGTGACTCGAACTTTCATTTCAATGCCAACCCAATTTAAAGCTGTTACTGTAGCTGCTCAAAAGTATGTGTAATTTATATAGAGGTATAAAATGTAATATGGTAACATTTCAAAACAGCAAACCTGGTCCGTGAGTGCTAAGATGCATGCTGTTGAGGACCCTTTTGCTTTTGTGCTAGAGTGTGCTTTCTCCAAGACTCTAGCTGGGTCAATTGAACCATTAGGCTCCTCTTGAATTGCAGAAACAGAATGTGACATGAGTTCCCGGGAATACAGTCCTGAATCAACACCATGACTGGCCCAGCCACCCACGCCATCTGCCACACCCACTGCTTGTTCGTCAGAAATAAAGTGAGCATCTTCCCCACCAGTTTCTTCTTTATCAGGATGGGGCAGGTAGCATGATCCAGAAAGTAACTTCATGTGTTTTCCAGCTAAATTTTTCCTGTAGCCAATAAACAACATGAAAAACTTAAATGCTAGCAAGAAAATAGCATAACCAGCAATTAATAAACACGAAAAAGAATTCTTCAAATTTTGTCATTGCCATAGTATAACTAGCAAATTGTTTCTCAAATATATTGAGAAAATTAGAATGAATTAAACAGAATCAGAGAACATACTGCTCTGAAGATGCTGCAGAACTTGCCAGCTGTTCCTCATGGGAAGAATTATCAAAGGAAACGTCCGGAGCTGTCCCAGCTGAGGAGCATGTAGGCGATAAGCCATGGAAGCCTCTTAGTCCGGCCTCTATATTTGGACAAAAGTGGCGCCATCGTTTGGCAGCATTATACATGAGATATCCATGAATTGGATTGTTGTTCGACTGCTCATTCTTTTTCAAACTCATGCTAGCCCTTCGGTAACTGTCAACACTCTTAATGCTATAACATATGCCAGGATGGTTTGGTGACAATTGCAGGTGCCTACTTTTTGAAGTTAAAAAATCCTCTAAAAGTTCACCAGATACTGGTTTGGAAGCACAAGCAGCCATTGAATTGTTTCGACAGTTACTACTGACAGATAATTGACCAGGGTCAGAGAGTGCACGATCAATGTGATACCCACAAACCTGAAATGAAGGGCCTGATACAGATGGAACAGAAAATGAGCGAGAAATTGCTCCAACAACAGAGAAGTTCCTTCTACGGTTTGCTAACAGCAAATCAGACCTTACAGCAAAAACTGTTCCTGGTCGGAGAAGTACATATAGGTCTGCAAGGGATGAAAATCGTAAAGAATGAAACAACCTATAATCACACAACCGAAACTTCCCCTGCCCAATCAAAACTTCAGAAAATAGACCACCTTCTTGGCCAATTATTGGTCTCTGAACTCCGTTTTGAACCACAGTCCTCAGTCTCGTTAAATAACTGGAAGACATTTTACCTTCCTAAACAAAACAGTCTTGCTTGAAACTCTTTACTATAGGGAACAAGACTGCCACCACTGCGTGTAAAAGAATATCTCATAATTCTCAATACATCTATTCTTGATCTAAATTTACTAAAAGAATAGTTTCACTGCTGCCTTTGGAATATTATTACAGGAAACCTGGAAAGAAAAAAAAAAAGTGTAACTCGTAACGGCATATAATAGAAATTCAAGACCATAGCTAAAATCTCCTTACCTAATGAATTTAAATTTAAAAAAAAAAAAAAAAAAATAGCATCAAGTTATCTAATCAATCAATATAAACTCTTACAATAACGAAATGAATAGTAGTCTAACCAAAAGAAGTCAAACATAATTTTCTTCCTATGAACTGAACAACATGAAAGCAGACACAGGCGGATGATCTTCCTATCGATTCAGGCACCATATACGCATCAAATTATAATATAGATTAAAAGAGCAGACACCATCATTTTTAAACATAACAAAAAATAAATCATAAAAATAAATACAGAAATGAAAGTCAGCTAGAAGAAGCGAAATCGTGGTTTTTTCCTGACCACTTACCTCGAGGATTAGAAGGCAGAGCTAAATCAAATCCAACAATTATCTCCTGTTTATAGAAATTAAAAGGATATAACGGCAACGTCTTGGAATCGGTAGGTGCAACACACGAGCCCCCTGCCTAGCTCCCTCTAGGATGTGGCGATCACTTGAACGGTCGAAAAAAACAAAACCCAGAACGTTCTTTTGCAATGAAACCCTAAATATACAGAAAGTGACTACTTAGTTATGGCTCAAGGTTACATATTAATTACAGACACCATTTTACATCTTGACAGGTTTAACATTGGATATATCCAGCATCTCACGTCGCTTTTGGGCTCAAATGAGGGTACTTTCGTAACTTTTCGATTATGTTGGGTATGGTCAACTTTCCTTCTTTCAGTTACATGCTTCGTCCAACTTGGTAGGAGAGATTTGCTAACGTGCGCACCTTTATCTTCTGAATTTTCGTAACCTACCCCTAAAGTTTACATATTATCACGAGCCCTCTAAGGTTATAAATTTTTTAGTAATACATACCATAAAAGTCAACCATTATTAACTCAAATAAATTATACAATAAAAGAGAAGTTGGGACGAAGGATAAGCTTAACCATTTTAAATTTTAATTATATTACGGTTAGTTGTATTTAGAGTTCATCCGGCAAAGTGAATTATTGAAAATTTTCTTCTTACCTAAAAAAATTAATGCAAAATAAATGCCAATCATATATTTTATTTACGTTCATCAAATTTGCCAAATGGATGGTAAACAAATAGTTAACACTATTTTTGTAAGTGAAATAATTCAATAAAACTGAGTGGTCCGCATTGCTGAATAGATAGGAAAATTGGAATTTAATTGGTGAACTAGAAAGAGGCAGAATTCTGGATCAAGAGATCTCTACAAACATTTATTCCATATTTGAAAAGGATATATACCACACCAACTATTCTTTGAATTTATAAATTTATTTCATGTCGCTTAAAAACCACTCTTCCTTATAAACTCGACAAATTAATGGATTATACATGCCTAAAATTCCCACTAAAAACAAGTTGTTATGGCTGCGTCGCTTTGTTCCACTCCTTAACTGGGCTGGGTTGAACAAATTTGGATCCATACACAGATACTTAATGTTACTCAATTAAGAGCACATTTGTTATTCTAAGGCTTTCACTTCCAGAAACATTTAAAAAAAAAAAAAAAAAAACTGCCCCGATAAATTATCAATTTTGAAGCCTGCTAAACATAATGGGTGCACCATATTGAGGCTGTGTGCTTACAAGCACCATTGGAGCGTGAACATAAGTTGGTGACAGCCTGAAAGTGTAACGTTTGATGATCATAGCTAGCATAAGTTTAGCCTCGGTCATAGCTAAGTTTTGACCAACGCAGGTTCTGGGGCCTAAACCCCATGGGAAAAATGCAGCTAAATGCTTTCTGGCTTCACTAAATCTCAGTGGATTGAACTCATTAACGTCATCTCCCCATATATCAGGGTCATGATGTATTGCAGTTAAGTTCAAATATATTTGCATGCCTTCAGGAATGTCCAAGTTCCCCAGTTTACAGCTTTTAGTTGCTTTCCTTATCAACATGACAGCTGGAGGGTAAAGTCGAAGTGTTTCATTCAGTATCATGTGTACCTGTTAACACGATCAATAGAAAAGTCAGATTTATTCTCCGTTGCAGTATTTTATAAATTAATGAAGAATTGGAACTTACAAGCTTAAGGTCACTTAAGCTGTCCGCAATTTGTTGCTCATTTTCTCCACAGACACGAAGCACTTCCTCTCGTGCCTTGATTTGCCATTCTTGGTGCAAAGCGAGAAGTAAAAGGGTCCAAGTCAAAAGATTAGCTGTTGTTTCCTTTCCTGCAAAGTAGAAGGTCTTGCATTCATCTATAATTTCTTCAACTCCTAATCTCTCTTCTTGACCATCTTGGTTTTTATAAGATGACATCAAAAGACTCAGTAGATTTCTGGAATTTTCTTTAGCTTTCCCATTGTTTTTTATCAGTTTCCTTATTGATTTACGAACTTCTGTTTCCAATGTCCACCTCTCTATGTTTTTCTTGGTTGGCAAGAACCTGCGTATAATCACGAGAAAATTTTGAAATGTTTTGCTCATGGATAGACCTCAAGTTTTCGAATCACAACATTCCAATACTCAAACCTAAGAATAATAATAAAAGTTACCTAAACCCAGGAATATATACACCTCTCACAGCATGAGAAAAGAGGTACATTTGCTTTTCTTGTAACAAAAAAATACGCTTGCCTTCTTCAAAACTACTCCCAAAAGCTGTACGGGATATGTTATCAGCTGAGAGATCATGAAGTTCTTTATGCACGTCTATCTCAAATTCATCTTCCCCCTTCCCTGTTTCCTCCCATTTCTCAATCATTTTCAAGGTACTAGCCACAATTTCTGGCATCCAAGCCTGCTCAAAAGAATTTCGGCCACATGACCCATCGTGTTAATATAAGTATGTATATTTCATACAACTATAATACATGTAGTATATAAAAGCGAATGTGATCACCTTAATTCGGTCCATTTTGAAGGCCTGATTGGCGATCCTCCTGTGAAAAGCCCATATGTCACCTGTAAGCCCAAAAAGTCCCTGCCCAAATAGCTGCTTAGACGAGGGGTTAAACTCAAACTTTTCGTAAGATGACCCCGTATTCATGAGGATCTCCTTAATCATATCCGGGTTGGTTATTGAAAGCCTGGGCACTGTCCCGAACCAGTACAGGAAATTCTTCCCATATATGCGTGACCACCTGTGATAGAAAGGTGCTGTACGATGAAGTATATCGTGGTTAAATGGAGAGATTGTCTTCGACCGAGATTCTGTGAACACACGTCGCATCTCGGCTGTGTTGCCAACAATCAAGCGGTAGCCAGGGCCAGTTATCCCTTGTTTTTTGAAGTGGTTTTGGATCCGATAGGGAACCCATATGACTGAGTGAACAAACTTCAGAAGAATCAATAACACAAAAATGAGAAGGAGAAGATGCATAGTGAAATGAATGGAGGAAGAAGGAGAGCAACTGTAACGATAAGTTAGAGAGAGCTCGGTAAACTTTGAAGTATATATTAAATTGAATGTAGCTTTGATGAATCCGCTTGGAATTATTGAGCCAAGTCAGTGAGTCCATTGTGGCGTCCAAATCCAGTTAAGGTTTGACTAAGTTGCTACTTGTGTTTCGGGTTATTAAAATATGAAACGTGGCAGTTATGGATTGGATGAGTGTGGCCGGGGTAGTCTACTCTACCATCGAATGAGGCAAGCAGCCGGACTAATTTTTTTATTTCAAAGACTTGGACTTAGTATAGCATCCGTCATTTGATAAGCGACTGAAATTTTGGTTTCCAAATTCCATTGTTTCTTTCAGCCAAACTTTTGATCTCTAATGAGCTTCAACCAGAATCAATTTTTATTTTATTAAGTCTTCGCATATGTTATTGTCATACTTGACTTGACTAACTTATAAATAAGTTTTTAGTATCGAAAATTCCACCAAGTTTTTTAAAGGATATAATCTTGATGCCAACCGTCCATCAATTGACAAAAATTTAAAGGAATTATTGAAAAATCATTGAGCCGGTGTTCAGATCAAGATTGTGGTGAAATGATTCCAAAGTGACAATTGTATGAATTTTGAAGGATCAAAGTATCATATTCCAAGACGACCAGCTGTTCAAATGTTATTATTAATTTTTTTTTTTTTTCCTATATGACATAATAAAGCCGATGCAGAAAAGTAGACTAGGGTTTTCTGCACAATTAAATTTTGAAGGTGATATCTGAACTGATCCAGAATACTAGTATTGGTAAACATGTAAAGACTAAGACCACATGCATTTCTAGTATTCTGTGTCTCTTTTGCTGACTATTCATTTTACAAAGAAGATTCAGAAGCATTCATTCTACAAAAAAGACTAGCGTATAATTTTCTCTCTTTTACTTGACTACTCAGTTTGAAAAGTTTCCAAAGTCAGTTTTGGCAACTATACTGCAAGGTAAGTCATAAACATACTACCGACTGACAAAACTGTGACTTTCATTCTATTTTAAAGCTAATATTTTAAATTTTTCGTCATCTTTTCACACATCGAAGATATGAAAACAGTGAATAGACAGTTTTATTTTGTAAAAAATTGGGTTCAACTTATTAACATAGCGCATCTAGTTCCTATTCGGGTTTGAGCACGTAGAAGGCTGCCGGCAGATGTGAAGATCTTTATTTCATCATGGTATAAAATTAAAATAAGGTAAGCTCACATACAATAGTAATTAATAGAAAGATCGATCTTGTGTATGATGTATGTCCCACATTCCCATGTATATATAAAGTAAAAGAAAAGGATAACCGACCCATGCATGTGCCTCCAAAACCTCAACTCCATGTTCACCACAAACAATATTAAACAAAAGCCCAAGTTTTGCGATAAATGTCTCCAAGTCAGGCAATTAAAGTGCAGAATTGTCCTCGCGGGTTGTTGTGAAAACTTATTTCTTGATGCATGGGGGCAAGGGAAGAGCCTAGTGACCATTTATAAAATAAAAACCATCTCTTTGTATTTATGTGTTGTGGAGTTCCTTTCCGAATGCAATATTGTATGCTTAGAGAGTTCCTGCTCTTGATGACAAGAACAATAGCTCGACAAGCAGGCTGGCAAGCAGGGAGCCAGGGACCATTGGGCACAGCCCCACACACCGTCAAATGAACTGACTCGCCAGTGTGCTGCCAACTCACTGTATTAAATGCATTTGCAGGCTGACCCACAGTTCCAGTACTGACCCACTTCACATCCATTCATCAAAATATCAGCACCATCATGGCATCATCCAAATAATAAAATCATTATCAGGAGTTTTCAAATCATACACCTCAGCTTCTATATTCAAGAACTACAAACGTTTCAACTACATCCTTGTGCTTTGTCTAAATTTGGCATATTACACAGTTTTGAAACAGGTGATTGTGCCCTCAATTTCACGAGAGATTTCTTGGGAAACCATTCCTATTACTAAACCCATTAACGCGAAGTATTCAATTCGAGCAAATATTTTAAAAGCAACTAAACTACAAAACAAGCATCATATTCTGTGCTAGCATTTGCAGATTTTGCTTAATAGTGACTACTGAAAGTTCCTGTACGCGCGTACATCTCTTTCTCTAATTCATATAATAATCTCACAGAATAAAAATTAAAACTTCAAAAGGAAAGAGCAGCTAACCCAAAAGTATCACAGCAACTACAAATGGGAAGCAAAATAGTCTTAACTGTATGACCCTTCCTTCTCTGACTTCTTGCTGTTTGTATTGTACAAAACCATGGTCTAGAAAATAAAAACACCAGCTGCAATGTGAAGTTCTATGGCAGTGCTGGACCACTGGCCTTTCTCTCAGGTGCGCCTTCCCATGGATCGCTTGGGGAACTCCCTCTTCCTCCTCCATATGAAGCTGTAGCTGCTCCAACATTGAAACCACCTCCAAACGAAGTGAGGAGAGCAGAAAGTCCACTAGTGGAAGCTCCACCAGCACCTATGCCCAGTCCCAGAAGATCAAGTGTGGTAGGTTTGCTCCCGAACAGGGACGACGGATCCATCATAACGTCAGTCAAACCAGAATTCAGCCCTAGCCCAAGCCCAGTTGCCGCAGAGTTGTTTTCTTGCTTACCATGGGCATCTTTACCTGAGGAAGGTGATGACATTGATAAACCAAAACCACGAAGCAAGGATTGATTTGAAGATGTTGCACCCATTTGAGCTGCTTTTTGAAGCAATGCAGTCGCTGACATGGCGGGTTGTGAAGAGGGAGCATAGTGGAGATGACCTTGCTCAGGTTTGGAGAAGAGGGAGCAGCTATTGTTGGAGAGATAAAGAGATGGGGAGAGGGTGAGGGATGTGGGTTCAATTCCGGAGGCTGATGGGCAATCAGAGTGAGGCAAGGCAGAGATTTGATCGGAGAATGAAGAAGATGGTACTTGGGACGTTTGCGAGACTGCTGAGGATGAAAATACACTAGCAAAAACACTAGTCGTATGAGTGGTGCTAGAGCTAGGGGTTGTCGCCACAGGTCTTGGCGGGGAAAGGCTTATAGGGTTTTCAGGCATTTCTGTAAGCATATGAACAAAAAGATCAGTTAGAACCTAATAGTTAAACAGAAAAGAGGATGAAAACTTTAAAAAAGATGATGGGAGTATGCTGCAATCAAACGCCGCACGCAAGCACGCACAGAAAAGCAGTTAAAAAAATAATAATAAAAAGAAAAACCTTTTCTTTTAGATAACTTTTCCAAGTCATGGCCACATTAGTTAAACTTAAAAGGAGTAACAACGTGAACTGGAAAGGTCCTCCAGAAGTAAAAGCAAGAGCAATAATGGCTTCCTTTCTCTTAAACTTCTATTTTTTATTTCGATCTTTGAGCTCTCGTTATGGAAGTGTAGCCATTTCACCATGTTTCAACGAAATTAAGGACCTCACTTTTATCTACCACAATTACTTTCTCAAAGTTCTGATGATTACCCACGAGAGGACAACCAAAATGCGACAAAACAACGTTAAAAAAATAAAAATAAAAAGTAGATTACATTAATAGCGGTTTTCATCTTTCTTCAGCCACAAAGAAAACGATAAAATGTCCCCATTTTTCAAGATTTCCTCACTCTCTACTACTAGCTCTACGTATACAAACTAAATCAACACTCGCCAATATAATGAAAGGTAACACTAAATAATTACCTGAACTCTGAATTGACAGACCCGGAGAAACCACGCCAGTTGACGGAGTGTGAGGAGGAGGAGGTGGAGAAGCAACAAGGGTCTTCGCATTCTGATTCCCTTCTTCTTCTGCACTTGCAACCACTGTGGGTTTTGTCCTCGCACTCTCCTCCGCCAACGCATCACAGAATGCTCTGTGCGTTATAAAACTATCCCTTCTTCACCAACAAAAACAACCGTCACCGTCAAAACGAAGTTATATATAAAAAAAAAAGGAAAAAAGAGTTTTGAGTTTCGAGATGTATATGAAGTGAACCTGGAAAAGACTGTGCCGCAATCGCATTTATACTCTCTGGTTCCACAAGTCTTCATATGAGCTTTCCAATCAGACTGTACGGCATATTTCTTAGAACACCTTTCACACTTGTATTTCTTCTCTCCATGTTTTCGACTGAAATGCTTCTTGATACCCGTGAGATCACCGAGAGCTCTAGCTGGGTTGTGGTGCACGCACGAGGATTCGGGGCACACATAGACTTTCTTGCGGTTTTCTTTGTTGGTTCGCTGCTTGAGCTTCCATGGTAAATTGTGACCTCGTCGGTGAAGCTGCAGGTTCTGGTCGCGCTGAAACCCTTTGTTGCAGATCTCGCACAGGAATCGGTTCGTGGCTAGTAAAGTTTTTGGTGATAAAGCGATAACCATTGAATCTGGATCTGAATAATCCAAAAAGATTAGCACTTTAGAATCATTATTAAGTATGAAAAACTAGTAACTTTTTATTAGATATTGGGTTTCGATAAAGTTACCTGGCATTCCTGGGAGATTACGCTTTTTCTTCTTCTGTTGTTGTTCTTGTGGTTCTGGTAATGGAATCATTTGAATCTGATTAACTGGGGATGATATGCTATCTTCTGCAGGAGCTGTACTATCGGTTTCAAACTCGGTCATCGTATTTCTTTCAAGCACGTAAAAAACTTGAAATTTCAAGTCTTCATATACTATCTAAGCTCAAAGAACATGGTTAACTTGGGTCTGATAAGTGAAAATCTAGTTATACTTCATCTATCTGTCAAGCTCTCAAGCTACTCACCAAAATCTAGTGAAACCTTCCTGGTACTCGAAGACAAATCTAAAATATGTGAAATAAATGGTTAAATGGTATGGATTTTCAAAATTGTGGGCAGTTTCTCAATTCTCAGTTTCAGTGAAACCAAATAAACCAGCGATTAAACTCAGTGACGAGTCAAGACCGGCATGATGGACTCATTCGGCGGCGGTTTCATATCGAGAGAGAGAAACAGTGAGTTAGAGACGATAGAAGAAGACAGACAAGAAGAGAGAGAGATTAGAATTGTAGCGTAAAAAGTATTAAAAAAATGGTTAAAGCGGCGCCACTTAACCCTGGTTTGTAGTTTTAACTATGGTTAGAGATACAGCTGACTCCCAAATCTCTCCTCTTGCAGGCAGCGCAAGCTATTCGGACCGTACACGTGTCAAAAGAAGTGAGTTGCTGACATTTGTCGGAAGAAGTCGGACTAGGCGGTGCTTGTCGTTTAGCTAAAATGCTTTCAATATTTTTATCCGGTATGCATCCATTTTTTTTGTGTTCTTTGTGAACAGGACGACTCAAAGACAACTATACCCCTAACACACAGGCTGAAAACCTGGATTTCAACACGTGCGACAACCTGTGTTCTAAGTCAGTAGACGAGTTTACGATCATGTGTTGTGTTTTTATTATAATATTTTATGTCGATTAGGAGTCCTGCCAATTGCCAAGGAACCGATAAGGACGAGCAAGACAATAAACAAATCTCACTATTTGTCTTTAAATTAGTGGCATGATTTGTAATTTATATAGAAAACATTGTCTAATCTTCCCACTCAACTGCTGTTACATCTATTCTTCTTTATTTGGCATGTTCCTCGTCAAACTAACAATTATGCCTTCATGTTCTTTTTTCTTTTAATAAATTAATACTTGATTACCTTCGTGTGCAAGTAACTTGAGAAGAGAAATATGGTCAGCTCAGTGGCAATCTCGTGAATTAGATGGTTACAAAGGGTGATAGTTTAGCTAAAATGTTGATTGTCTCAATAGTCAATAATCAATATAGCCTGTACGTTACAGTACTGTGCATATGACAAATGGCCTTGGAGCACTCCAATGCTTGCAGACACGTCCTTGACTATTCAGTAAAGGGCTTTAAATTAGTATGTGACAGTTCATGTCTCTTGACGTGGGCGCGGCTTCAGTAACCGTTAACTTTTATAAAAGTTTGATTTCTACCGTTGGATAAATCAGAGTATCATTTTTAAGATACTACGTTATGCTTACGTTAGTATCCCAAAAAGGATGAAGACACTTTTGTCTTTTCATATGCATATGCATATGCACATGCTCAGCTACGCAATCGCAAAGGTTATCATCTTTTTTTCTTTTATAAAAAGTTGGGATGATAAGCAATCACAGGGGTGTTTCCGACTTTTCACAACTGTTGTATGGTAATGAATTCCAAATTTGCACTGGCCTCCACCACCAACTTTCTGACTGGATTCCATCAACTCCTAGGTGAGTTGGTGATGTGGACGGCCGAGATGAATTCTTTCTGCCCCATTATTATATATTAATTTTTACTTAGAATTAAGTAAATAATAATCCACAAATCATTAGAAACCATTAAAGAATTGCGTGTACATAAATAATTGAAAGTACGAAGTATGAACACACAAATGTGCTTTAATAGTTGGGGACTTAGGGTATTAGTTAAAACCTTCATAACTGAAAAGTCATAATTTTTAATAAGGCTTCTGCCCAATTTATATATATATATATATATATATATATATATACAGTACATGGTTTGACTCGGACCCAATTTTTTTAGTTGAGCTTATCTTTAGTAGGTGAATGATAACACAAGAATAATAAACAAATTAAAGTCTGGTTTAAATCTTTTTAGGCACATGGAGATTCTAGATTTGGCCCTGGTCAAGTCACAGAAAAATCAACAGTGGCTTTATTATGTTTCAAAGAAAGTCGGTTCGAATATGGGAAAGTGACCTGGCAAAGAGAAAATAATGTGCTGTTTAACAGGAAGATTGATGGTAGCTAAAAGCCTAACACTGGAAAGCAGCTTTAAAGCTAATAATAAATAACACTTTGGTTTGGATAGGCTTAGGAGATTTCATTTGGATTTTGGCCAATCACAATTGTTTAATACAATTATACTATGGGAGAGTTCTTTGGATAACAAATCATTTGTTGGGTGGATTATATTTTTGTTTCCACTATCCCAAATTACCCTATTATATGTAATGGATTGGCTTAAAACTAATATAAGTAGATAAATTAGTGGAGAAAGTCAGGAGTCACCACCTAGCTGGTTCAATGTAATTTCATTTTTTTCATACTCTTTTGATGTTAAGTTGTGCAAATCTAGAGCTGCTCAATAATGTCCCAAAAGAAAAAAAAACCAACGACAGGGATCAATGCAATGATAATAAGCAATTTGATTATGTTGTAGCTGCTTTTCCTTTTCTGATTCCAATAACCAAAACTATATTCATCCATCTTCCCAATTATATTTCCCTTCAAAAAACAGTATTCATTATCATTATTATTTTATTGCTTAGATTGACAATTCCTTTTTGCATTGAGTTGTATTAATTCCCACCACCACTTTACCATGTATGCGATGATGATATGGCCAAAAGTCAAAACTGAATCCTTTCCTGGTTAGTCCCACTATATATTAAAAATCTTGGTTTAACACTATACATATCCTCTTTTACAATTTGCCACAGGATCATTCTTGACTCTTAACTCTAATCCACCGCCCAAAAGACAAAAGGTAAGCTTACGTTTTCTCCCATAAAACTTGTTCTCACATTTTAAATGGTACTTCATAAAGTCCATTTAAAGTTTAAACAGATGGAAATTGACAAATCTTGTCTTTTAACATGCTTTCTCATAATTATCAATACAATCACGGATTCACAGTCAAGACAAAGCATATATTTTACGTATAATTTAAAATAAGAAAATTGTAGAGATTGACTCAGTCAAATTCAAGATTTCCAAGAAAAATATATTTATCCTAGTGTGTGAGATTTTTCCACCAAGTTTGGAGAATTATGAGGTTATAACTCGATCTAGAATTAGTTCAACTCAATCGATTTTCTAACCCAACATAAGTTTGTCAAGATGTAGCTCGACCTAACACAAGCTAATCACAATTAATCCTTACAATTGTTCAACCAGCTCACAAATAACTTCAGATTGTAGATATCTCGAAGGGGATTAGATCGACAACAATCTTGACACAATCTCAGGGCTCAATCACAGGAATATCGGGTTGCGTTTCAATCTTAATTATAATCCATTTATTTTCGCTCTTTCCTTTATACAAAATCTGTATATAAACTCTCTCCAACGATGAGAAAGGGGTTAGCAATTGTTCTAGGAATATTATTGTAAGCTCTCACAGCAAATACAAAAATAGTGAATATAGGCTCAAGAGTTTAACTCGTTGAAGTCGAACGGTCGAACCACTTTAAAACTATTTGTGTCATTATTTTACTACTTTTCATTCATGACATTGCTAGTTACTCGTAATCACACACACATCAGTTTCGATTCTATCAAGGTTAATTGGATCACTTTAGTTGGTATAAAATCTTGTATCAAAATTTTGGCGCTAGAAAGAGGGCCTTCGCCAAAATCTCAGAATTTCCAGCAAACAATCCTAGTGACTCGATCACTCAAAGCCCATAATGGTTCGTACAAGATCAAAAACCACCATTGGAAATCATGACAACTTGGAAACCACCCATTAGGAGGTGCATCAAGACGCTGCCGGGCATCGACCACCAGTGTTGCCAAGGTAGCAGGCTGTGAACCAACAGGGGGCAGGGACATTGAATCCTAAAAATGGTCAATTAGTGGAGATGATCAGAATAATGGTTGCACAGGCGGTGCAACAAAACGTGGTTGAATTGAGAAACCATCAGTCGGCCCCCTAAGACCTCGACTGGCCACGCTTCATCGATGTTACCCCAACAAGTCGGAATTCAGCCGACAACCAATCCGGTTCGTCGGCACCAAGGAACAATCGACAATCTCAGCATCGCTGCGCACATTCTACTTATGAACGAGAATCTCACGGGCAGACTAACCCCGGAAGGAGACCAGGCAAAGAGCCCATGAGGGAAGATGAAGGAACATGGTTCCTTTCGGGGCCTATGGGCTAGAGATTTCTTTGGTTGAGAAATCTCCACAAAAGAGTGGTCAGAAGAGGCTGCCACATCGGGGTCCCAGCTCCATGCAACGACATCCTTAGAAATCTCAGGGATTATGTTCTTGAGAACCGCTGAGCCTACAGGAGAATCAAACATGCGATCAATGCTGTGGTTACACGATGAAGACATGGTGAAAGCTCGCCTATAGATACCTGAAACAGAAGCGAACATGTGTTAAAATTCAAAAATTCGGCAACCAATCCACACTTTGCTTTCAGTTCAAGCACCCATGATAGCTTGCGTCGGACAAAAGACACAAGCGAGCTACCAGGATTCCATCAACCACTAGTGTAAACCCTCCTTAAACCCATAACCGCAAAAAGGTATAAAAAAAACAAATAAAGGAGGAGAAAGAAGCCTTATCGAAGTGTAAAGATGAAAGAAACTTGCCAGAAAAGCGTCGTGAAAATGACATAGCAACGACGGAATAAGCAAAAAAATCCGAAAACTTTTGCAAAGTGTATAGAAGTTCTGACAAAGTTACCCGCTTTTATAGTGGTTTGTGTGGGAGACGAAATGGTGGGATTCAACCGTAGCCGTCAATCTACAGTGAATCTTAGCCCTTCATTCGTCGAGTAATCCCTGCTTTTGGATGTAACCACGTGTCAATCATCCCCAAGGGTCGATCAACTGTCAAATAGCCACAGTCATAACTATCGTCACACATCGCTTCGATTTCGTGCATGGACAGCTATAGTTGCCCACGTGCGACGAAAAATAACTGTCAAAGGCTATTGCATTTAATGCGACCTCACTACGTGGAAGTTACACATATACCCCTCATTTCAAATTCCAAGTTTGTCAAGAATATCACAGCACAAGAAAAGCCAAGTGTTGAGTACGTCAACTGAAGATTAGTCCGACTCATGAAGCTTGACCATACCTACATTTAGCGTACGTCAACTAAAGATTAGTCCGACTCATGAAGCTTGACCATACCTACATTTAGCACACAACCGACGAAGTTCGAGCTTGATATCAAATTGAGTAATAATCTTCGAAGCTTGATACGAGCACCGAACACTAGGGGGCATATGTTGTGTGTGATTTTTCCAT